AGCTGGGCCTTCCTGCCTTCCCCTTCCTCTTCCTCAGCCCCACCTTCTGTGCATAGTCAGCTCCTAAGCACACTCCTGCTTCCCCTGGCCTCTCCATTTAAAAAGGGAGGCAAAGGATGCCACCACTGTCACTACACTCTTGGCTTTGTTCTGGGAAGTCCTGCAAGTAAACGAAAGCTCTCCAACCCCTCCCCACCCACTGGGGCCGCTAAGGCGAGGGGAGGTAGGTCTTTCGGGGATCAGTACTTTTGTTTCTTGCACAAGGACATTGTTTGACCTGAAGGAAACCCTGTGTTGTTGTTTAGTTTTGATTTGTTTTTGAGACAGGGTCTCGTTCTGTCACCCAGGCTGGAGTGCAGTGACGTGATCTCAGCTCTATTCTCTATTTTAAAGGCACATACCCTTTGATGAAGCTATCTCGCTTGGAAAATTTGTCCTACACTCTTACTCTAGTAGGTAAAGATGTAGAGGCCAAGGAGCCAGGGCAGGGATGGAGCTTCCGCCTCTCCTCTTGTCCCAAGGCGAAGACTCCCCTGTAACTGACAGCCCCTAAGTTGTCTTAAATATCATTTTGTTTATAATTCACACCCCTTATGGCAGGAGGTAGAGAGGTCGACCCTTATGGAGAGCGTGTGTGTGTTTGTGTGTGTGCGCGTGAGTGTGATTGGCACTCCCTTTGTGGAGGAGAGTGGGGCAGAATGGATTCCTTTTCTTCTTTCTGAGACGGAGTTTCACTCTTGTTGCCCAGGCTCTAGCACGGTGGTGCGATCTGGGCTCACTGCAACATCTGCCTCCTGGGTTCATGCAATTCTCCTTCCTCAGCCTCCTGAGTAGTTGGGATTACAGGCATGGGCCACCTCACCCTGCTAATTTTTTATGTTTGTTAGAGACGGGGTTTCTCCATGTTGGTCAGGCTGGTCTTTGAACTCCGGACCTCAGGTGATCCACCCACTTTGGCCTCCCAAAGTGCTGGGATTACAGGTGTGCGCCACCATGCCCATCCTGTATTCTCTATTTTAAAGGCACATACCCTTTGATGAAGCTATCTCGCTTGGAAAATTTGTCCTACACTCTTACTCTAGTAGGTAAAGATGTGCGTTCAAAGATGTTTGCTGCAGTGTTGTTTAAAAATCTGAAAGGCTGGCCGGGCGTGGTAGCTCATGCCTGTAATCCCAGCACTTTGGGAGGCTGAGGCAGGCGGATCACGAGGTCAGGAGATTGAGACCATCCTGGCCAACATGGTGAAACCCTGTCTCTACTAAAAATACAAAAATTGGCTGGGCACGGTGGCACATGCTGTAATCCCAGCTACTCAGTAGACTGAGGCAGGAGAATCACTTGAACCAGGGAGTCGGAGGTTGCAGTCAGCCCAGAATGCGCCACTACAGTCCAGCCTGACGACAGAGCCAGACTCCGTCTCAAAAAAAAAAAAAAAAATCTGAAAAGCTGGAAACAACCCATATTCATTAGGAGTCCAGCTAGATCATTCTAGCACAGAATACGCTGCAGCTCAAAGAAGGGATCTTTGTAGGTTAACGTGAAAGGATGTAATATACAAAGTGAAAAAAGTTAAGTTGAAAAAACCTATAGAGGATGGTTTTTTTTTTTTTTTTAACATCAGCACACAGAAGTGTTCATTATGATCACCTGCGACGAGTGAGACCCAGGCATGAGGAAGTGGGATGAACTTTTTTTTTTTTTTTTTTTTTTGAGGCGGAGTTTCACTCTTGTCACCCAGGCTGGAGTGCAATGGCGTGATCTTGGCTCAATGCAACCTCCGCCTCCTGGGTTCAGGCAATTCTCCTGCCTCAACCTCCTAAGTAGCTGGGACTACAGGCATGCGCCACTATGCCCAGCTAATTTTTGTATTTTCAGTAGAGACGGGGTTTCACCTTGTTGACCAGGATGGTCTCGATCTCTTGACCTCGTAATCCACCCACCTCAGCCTCCTGAAGTGCTGGGATTATAGAGGTGAGCCACCGCAGCCGGCCAGGATAAACTTTTAAAAGTACTTCACTCCTGCTTCACAAAGCTCATGTGCCACAGGCCCTGCTCATAAAGATTCCACCCCTGCCAGATCCGCTGAGTCAGAGGTGGAGTCCTCAGAGGGTTAAGTAGTGAGAGGGCTGGGCAGGGGCAGTGGAGGAGCCTGAGGTCCGTTCACACGCGGATACCCCAGGGATCCTGAGGCTCGGGCTGCTGTAATCCACACTTGGGGCCAAGTCCCCAGTAATTAGCCTCCTTTGGCCGTCCTCAGACCGCACATTGCCAAGCGCTCAAGAGAGGCTCATGGACCAGCTGGCCCTCCTGTGCACCACGCAGTCCGGGGCCTCTGCTTATGCCCAGAAGATGCCTGCCAACACCCCCCAGGACACCGAGGAGGCAAAGGCCCGAAACAGGTGGGACTTGTAGCCAGGCACAGCTCCTGTGGTCCTTTAGAAGGGCCCCATGGTTTGGCAGCACTGACTGGGCCTAGTAAGGGTTGGGGGCTCGATGTGCATTTTCTGTCACCTTCAAACATCTGATCAGGCAGTTGCTTCCCACAAGGAGAAAGGCAGGCTGCAGTGGTGACGCTGGGAGAGGCAGAGGTGGACGTAGAGCCCCAGGGTCCCGTAAGGCCCTGCGATATGCCTGCTCTCCCACAGTTTGGTTGTCCCAAACTTTAGAAATCTGAGCCAGTGAATCCCTTTTCACCTGAGCAGCAGTGGATTTCTGTGCCTGGAAACTAAAAGTACCTAACAGAGATGGCTAGGCATGGCGGCTCACACCTATAATCCCAGCACTTTGGGAGACCAAGGTGAGTGGATTGCCTGAGGTCAGGAGGTCGAGACCAGCCTGGCCAACATGCTGAAATCCCACCTCTACTAAAAACACATAAAAATAATCTCGGCTTGGTGGTGCATGCCTGTAATCCCAGTTAGGAGGGTAAGGTGAGAGAATTGCTAGAACCCAGGAGGCAGAGGTTGCAGTGACCAAGGAGTTGTCATTGCAGTCCAGCCTGGGCAACAGAGCAAGACCCCTCCTCAAAAAAAAAAGTAAAAAGAAATGGCGAGACCTGTACTGTTCACCATGACCGCCATTAGCCACGTGTGGCTGTTAAACACCTAACATGGCGAGTGTGACTGAGGAACTAAATTTTTTATTCATTTGATTATAATTGGCTTAAATGTAAACTTAGCCATTTGTGGCAAATGGCTATACTTACCACAGATAGAGAGCATCTCCATCATCAGGGAAGTTCTGTTGGCCAGCGCTGGCCTAAATCTTGAGGGCTTTTCTGAAGAGTAAAAGGGCAAATATGTTTGATGTACCTGTTGGCAGAGAGTGGGCACTCACTGGGTGGCACTGTGACTGGACAGTCATCACAGACAAGTGACTCCACAATGCCTGCTTCTCTCATCTCAGATGTGCTTCAAGAAAACCAGGCTCCCAGGCTGTGCCAGGCCCGCAGCTGGCCGAGCCCATGAGACTTAACACCGAGCCTCCCACCATCTTCATTGACCTGCGGCAGACGGAGCCACCAGGCCGCCCGTCCCCGGAAAGGTCTGGAGGGCAGTGACTACCCCATGGCAGCCTCCACTTCGCAAAGTTGCCTGTTGACCTCACAAAGCTTCTGGTGGATCCCACTGGGAAGGACCAGGGACTTGAAAAGGCTTTGGATCATTGCTCAATTGAGAAGTGCTTTTAGCATGGGTGAACTGGGCCTGGCCTAGAGTCCCCCGGGTCCCTGGAGGGAGGGAAGAGGGGCACGGGGCACACCCCCTCAAGCTGGGCTCCAGCCCAACACATTAAGCTGGAGGGCATCGCCCACACCTGCCCTCGCCTCCTGGCAGGACGTCCGCTGGCCTCCAGTGTGGCCATTGCCCTCTTGTATTGGGTCACCAGGGAAGCCCGAGTGCCTCAAGCCCCAACAGGAGTTGGAATGCTGGGTGGAGTGGGCACATCCAGAAACCCATTTCTCTTCCCCCACAGCTCCTCTGATAGCGAGGAGGAGGAGGAAGAGGAGATAGCAGCTATGGGAGATGCAGAGGGGGCATCTGCTTCCTCCCTGGAGCTTCGGTAACCACCAAGGGGCCTCCCGCCACCTGCGGATATCCCACCTGCTTCCCGCAGGAAGCCCTCCACCTGGCACATTTACTGCCTGTGGTGAGGTCCTACAGCGCCTACCACATAGGGCAGGGGGGTGGCACAGTTTCCATCATCTCACCCATGTCTGCTGGGTCCCAGCAGTGGCAGCGGCAACTGGCCACCTGAATGGCATTCTTACTCTGAAATAGGAGCTGGGCCCGCCTGCTTTTCTCCCGTTTCAGTGGCAAGTGCTGGGAGGTGCGGCCCCCACAGGGTTGAGTGAGTTTGGTCTCGTTGTCACAGGACCTGTACCAGAAAGAGCCAGCTTCTTCAGCAGCTCAGGGCCTTTCGGAACAGGACAGCCCAGCCTGAGCTGCCTGCCAGCAAGGGGCCTGGTGGTGGGGGGCCTCAGGTCCCTGAAGATGCCGCTGGATCAGGAACTTGGAGGAAGCAACACGTGAAGCTCTGCGCTGAGGGGCAGAACGCCCAGGCTGGACTCCCAGGAGGCAGGCCCAGGGCCCTAGGGGACACTCTAGATCCAGAGGCAGCCAGGGAGGCCCTGGTACCTCCTGTGGACCAACTGTAGACACCCCAGGTAGTGGGATCCCAGGAGTGGGCGGGGGCGGGCTGACTTGCCATGGACCCTGGACCCTGGACCCTGCTGTCCCTTTGCTCTGTGTTTCCACTAGCAGGGGCCTTACAGAGGCAGGGACCCTCAGACCGTGGTCTGTCACCAACCCTGTTAGAGCTGTCACAGGTGCATGCCTTTAGAACAAGGATGCAGACACAAATCTGTACCTAACACACGACAACAGCTTGGGATAAAGGGGTCTGATCCTCTAAGAGATAGGCAGGGACAGCAGGACAGGGGTGACATGCCATGCCTGGCTCTTAATGAACTTTTTGAAAGAGGGGTAGTGATGAGAATTGGCTTTCTCTTTCTCTTCTTTACCTAAGACAGGCACACATAGACTCTCAAGGCCTTTGACCTTTATGAATCTAGACAGAATACAGGAAACCCCTGGAAACACTGTCCTGTGTAGAGTGGAGCAGCGGCCTCAGTTGTTGATCACCAGCAAGAGCTGGGGACAGCTGCTTGTCCCTTGCTGAGAACCACCCCACTGACCGGACATGCCTGGTCTTCCTGGGTCCTGTTTCTTTGCCAGCACTATCCTGCAGCCCCATCATCACAGGAAGCTTTTGTAATTGCTGTGATCAGCCCTGACCTGGGCACCTGTTCTCTCCCCCTCGTCTCCAGGATGTGTCCTGCTGCCTGCTCTGTGGGAAGAACAGAGAAATCACCACCTCGGGCCCCACTGCACCTCAGGCTCAGGCAGCACAGCAGGGCGCCTGGCCTTTGGTCAAGTGTCCCAGCTTCCCCTGTGGCTCACCCCCCTCTGCCATGCCACCAAGGATGGGCAAGGGTCTCTTTGCATCAAGCTGTGTACCAGGCAAAAGACAGGCCCTGCCTGGCCATGGCCACAGGCTGCCAAGACTGGGGCCACAGACCTCTGCTCTCTAGACCCCATGTGATCTAGCAACAGGGACCCCACACCTGACCTCACTCCCAATGAGTGGTGTTCTCCTTACAAGCCAAAGGCTAGACAGGATACCACAAAGTCCCAGGAGGCCCCTCCTGCAGGGCACAAGGCCAGGCTGCCTCCCAGCTCCCATGCCCTCTCCCACCTGCAGAGACCCTCCCCTGCCCCCTCTGCTTGGGGCATATGCAGCCAGAACCAGGCTGCAACCCCATACTCTGCCTTTGCAGCCTGGCAGCCTCTACTGTGGCTGCCTAGCTATAAAACCAAAAGCTGTTTTTATTCTTTAACCCCATTTTCTTCCATCACCCCCCGCCCCTTTAATGACAGTAAGCTCCCTAAGAATGTTCCACAGTGATGGAAAATAAATTGTTCCAAGTTCAACTCTGTGAAGTCAGACCTGGGTCCTAAGTTGGCTCCACCACCTAGGCAAGGTTTTCATACTCCCAGTGCTCCAGTTCCTCCACCCGAGAATCATGGACAGGTGCAGTGGCTCACGTCTATAATCCTAGCACTTTGGGAGGCTGAGGCAGGCAGATATGACATCAAGAGATCAAGACCATCCTGGCCAACATGATGAAACCCCGTCTCTACTAAAAATACAAAAATTAGCTGGGTATGGTGGCAGGCGCCTGTAGTCCCAAGTTCTCAGGAGGCTGAGGTTGCAGTGAGCCTAGATCGCATCACTGCACTCCAGCCTGGCAACAGAGAAAAACTCCATCTCAAAAAAAAAAAAAAAAAAGACAATCATGGGAGCCCCCCCACTGGAATGCTTGAGAACATCACAACATGCACGCACCTGGGACTCACAGCTCCGGTGACACTCCATCACGTGAGCACTGAGGATGACACCCAGACGGGAAGGGACCCTCTGAGCCAGCAGGAGGCCATGGCCACAGCAGAGCAAAGAAAGTGGGCAGACCCCAATCACACTCCCCCCCAGGCTGCCACCTCCAGCACAGGCCTTCATGTGAGAGAGGCCTGGGGGCTCAGGCTGCAACGGGCAGATGGGTGTCAGCAACACCAGGTGCTTTGCTAGCTGGTGGGAGGGTGACCTGGCCACATCTAGCTGGGTACCTTATGCCCCATGAGAGCTCCCAGAGCTGCTCTAGAAGGTAAACGCCGTTCCTCAACCAGTCAGTCCCACTCTGCAGACACAGGACAGAGTACACAGGAGCCAGAAGCACTGACTACTTATGTTAGTTAAGGGAATGAGGAAAGGGCAGGTCACACAGCTGGAACATGGGCTGTGCCACAAGATCAAACTGTGCACATACATACGGCAACCGGGTGACAAATGAAATGGAGCATCCCAGGCTGGGACAAGGGCTAAGGCTACCTACCCATGAGGAACCACCACTGCCCGGCTGGAACATTCCAGAACCCAGTGGTGTCCACAGCTGTCCTATGACTTCTGAGACAACTACATACACCAAGAACTCCATTACACCGCTCGCCTCGGCCACTCACACGCCGAGACGATGTGTAGACCAGACGTTCCCACACAGCACAGGCAAGACAGAAGCTGGAAGGTGAAGGCTTCCTACCTTAGAAAGACAAAGTGGGGCGACCATGGAAGCCATGTCCCAGACACTAAGGAACCAGAAGCAAAGGCAGCCCTGAGCCCCGTCCCTGGGGAGGTGTCAGGCCAGTCACATCCTGGTGACAGGTCAGGAAGGTGGAACTCAGGGTTGCGTTCCCACCCCAGGTGTCTGCCAGCCTGTAGAGCAGATATGGATCTGCAAAAGGGACTGGAATGCTGGCCAGCCCCAGGCTTCATTTGGAAACCTTGGCAGGATGGAGGAGAAGCTGTAGACCAGGTCCTGGGAAGGCTGGGGTACATCAGGGCTCCTTACAGCAGGCCAGAGAGAGGCCCCTCAAATTCATGTCCACCCAGACCTCAGAATGTGACCTTGTTTGCAAACACAGGTTTTGATGATATAATTAGTTAAGATGAGATTACAGTGAATTGGGGGACCCTAAACCAAGTGAGTGGTGGCCCTACCAAAAAGAGGCTGGGCGTGGCGGCACACTTCTGTAACCCAGCTACTCAGGAGGCCAAGGCAGGAGGATCGCTTGAGCCCAGGGGTTCGAGGCTGCAGTAAGCTATGATCATGGCACTTCACTCCCAGCTGGGTGACAGCAAGGCCCTGTCTTAAAAAGAAAAAGAAAAAGCAAGCACAGGGGAGGATACACGAAGATGGCGCACAGGGTCACAGACACACAGGGGACGGGTAGGGGTGCAAGGATGAGGGTACATGCCAGCAGCTACCAGACGCTGGAGGTGGCTAATGGAGCCTCCCAGGCCCTCCAGGAGCCAGCCCCACCAACACCTTGGGTGCGGGCTTCTGGCTTCCTGAGTGTGTCACTGTGTCTGAAGCCCTTGCTCTGTCTCGTCTGTTCTGGCTGCCACTGGACACTCACACAGCCTGTACTTGCTCTTGCTCTGTGCCCAGTGCCCAGCTTCCTCCTCAGTCTGAGCATCCCAAATGTCTCCTGCTGGCCTCATACTGGGCCATGGGAGGCAACAGGTGATGCTTTCGGACCAGGGTCTCTGGCAGCTTCCTGAATTCTGTGCCCAGGGACGAGAGTCCTGGAAAGGCAGCTTCAGGCATGGTGATCAGGCCTTGGCCCCGGGGCCTCCAGGAGCCATTGGCGGGAGTGTCAGCAGGGAGCCTGTCCCCGTGTGGGTCCGCTGGTGCTTGTGCAGGTCGGTGCCCCGGCGGAAGCCCTTGCCACAGGCCGGGCAAGTGTAGGGCTTCTCACCTGTGTGCGTCCGGCGGTGGGCGCTGAAGTGGGAGCTGTTGTTGAAGCGCTTCCCACAAAGGGTGCAGGCATAGGGCCGCTCCCCGCTGTGCGTCCTGCGGTGGATGACCAGGCTGGAGCTCTGGCTGAAGCGCTTCCCGCACTCGGGGCACGGGTAGGGCTTCTCGCCTGTGTGCACCCTCTGGTGTGTGCTGAAGTTGGAGCGGTCGCTGAAGCCCTTCCCGCACACCAGGCACTTGTAAGGCCGCTCACCCGTGTGTGTGCGCTGGTGCTTGGTCAGGTGGGACGTTTTGCTGAAGCCTTTGCCACACTCAGGGCAGGTATACGGCTTGTCAGCCCCGTGGGAAGCCCCTCTTCCTGGTGGGGGGCCACCTCTTGGTTGCTCAGGCCTGGCCAAGCCCCTGACTGGGGCTGGCCTCTGACTTGGGAGCGGGTGGCCAGAGCCCTGGCATCGCGCCGAGAACACTCGGTACCACTCCATCCTCACTGGGGCGTCCTCTCTGCCATCGCCACCATCCACCAACTGGATCACAGGTCCTGAGACAGAGAAAGCATAGTCTCTAGGAATTCATGGCAAGAGGGCAAGGGAAATGTTTGTTTTTCCTGAGATTCAGTCTTGCTCTTGTCCGCCAGGCTGGAGTGCAATGGCATGATCTCAGCTCACTGCAGCCTCCAGCTCCCTGGTTTAAGTAATTCTCCTACCTCAGCCTCCTGAGTAGCTGGGATTATAGGCGCCTGTCACCACACCGGGCTAATTTTTGTATTTTTAGTAGAGATGGGGTTTCACCATGTTGGCCTGGCTGGTCTCAAACTCCTAACCTCAGATGATCTGCCTGCCTAGGCCCCCCAAAGTGCTGGGATTACAGGAGTGAGCCACTGTGCCCAGCCGGGAAATGCTTCTAATAGAAAGGAAGATGAAGGCTTTACGGGGCTCCTAAATTTCCCCTACAAAACATCTAGCAGGGACCCGGCACCGTGGCTCATGCCTGTGATCCCAGCACTTTGGGAGGCTGAGGTAAGAGGATTGTTTGAGCCCAGGAGTTCACGACCAGCATGGGCAAGACAGTGAGATCTTGTCTCGACAGAAGATAAACAAAAGTATCTGGGCATGGTGGCATGTGCCTGTAGTCCTAGCTACTCAAGAGGCTGAGGTGGGAGGATCATTTGCATCCAGGAGGTTGAGGCTGCAGTGAGCCGTGATCATGCCACTGCACTCCAGCCTGGGTGACACAGTGATAAAAACTAAATCAATAAAACAAACACACAGGAACTTATTTAACCATCACAATAACCAGTGGGTCAGTGCTGTTACTAACTCCATCTTGCAGATGGGGACAGTGAGGCACAGAAGTGTTAAGGAACTTCCCCAGAATCACTGGACTGGTAAGTTACAGAGCGAGGGCCATCAAGCTCTGGACTCTGCTGTACGCTCTAAGCCAGGGGTTCCCACCTGGTGGCAAGGTCTGGAAACATTTTTGTCAAGTCTGGGGAGGGGGTTGCATGTGGCCTCTAGTGGGCAGGGGCCCGAGCAGCTGGAAAAGCTCCTGCCAGCAGAGGCAGCCCCATGTGGAGAGCCATCTGGCCTGAACACCAACAGCGCCAACATCAAGAAGCCCTGCCCTGGGCTGTTCTGGCTGAGCAGGGCAGTCATGGGTCCCAGCCATAGGCCCTCTCTTGTCATATACTTGGTGCAGCCCTGAGGCCCCTCTGCAGAACCAAGTTCTAGAGCTGACAAAGTCAGGACAGGAGAACAGGGAGAGGGGCCTGGAGTGATCCAGGCTTTGCCCCTTCCAGGAAAAAGCCTTTGACTTCTCTGCTCCTCATCTGCAGCATGAGGGTGACAGGGGACCCGGTGGCACAAAGCACACCATGATGCTTGGCGGTCTGGGGGAGCAGCTATCTTCACAACAGTACGGAGAAAAGCTCTGTGCATGGCAGGCACATGCTGACCCCACAGGGGAGGGACAGAATCACCCACTGCCCTTGGAAATGTCCACTTTAAAACACTTCCACACCCAGAACTGGGCGAATCCTCCTTGCCCTCCCCTCCCATGTCCAGGCCCAACTTCCGGAAAGCCAAAAGTGGGTTTGGCACTTAATGAGTCTCAAATTCTACATCTATAAAACAGAGGAAGCTGGGCGTGGTGGCTTACGCCTGTGATCCCAGCACTTTGGGAGGCCGAGGCGGGCGGATCACCTGAGGTAAGGAGCTCAACACCAAGTCTGGCCAACATGACAAAACACCATCTCTACTAAAAATAGAAAAATTAGCTGGGCATGGTGGTGTGCGCCTGTAATCCCAGCTGCTCGGGAGGCTCAAGCAGGAGAATCTCTTGAACCCGGGAGACAGAGGTGGCAGCAAGCCAAGGTCATGCCACTACACTCCAGCCTGGGTGATAGAGTGAGACTCCATCTCAAAAAAAAAAAAAAAAAAAAAAATAGTTTTTGAGCCTGGGTAACATAGTGAGACTCTATCTCTACCAAAAAATTTTTCCAAATTAGCTGGGCATGGTGGCATAGGCCTATTGTCCCAGCTACTTGGGAGGCTGAGGTGAGAGAATCACCTGAGCCTGGGAGGCTGAAGCTGCAGTGAGTCAAGACTGTGCCACTGCACTCCAACCTGAGAGACAGGGTGAGACCCTGTCTCAAATAAAAAGTTTTGGAACTAGATAAAGGTGACGATTGCACAGCATTGTGAATATACTAAATGCCACTGAACTGTTCACTGAAAAATGGCTGATTTTATGTTATGTGAATTTCATCTCATGAAAAAACATAAAAACTTTGAGACCACATACCAACCGAATTTGTTAATTTTGTTTTTTTTCAGACAGAGTCTCACTCTGTTGCCCAGGCTGGAGTGCAGTGGTACAATCACAGCTCACTGCAGCCTTAACCCAGGCTTAAGTGTTCCTCCCACATCAGCCTGTCAACTAGTGTGCACCATGATGCCCAGCTAATTTTTGTACTTTTTGTAGAGACAAGGTTTCTCCATGTTACCCAGACTGATCTTAAACTCCTGGACTCAAGTGATCTACCCGCCTTGACCTCTCAAGGTGCTAGGATTACAGGTATGAGCCAGCACACCCGGCCTATTTTTGTTTTTTCTTTTTGAGACTGAGTTTCGCTCCTGTCACCCAGGCTGGAGTGCCATGGTTTAATCTTAGCTCACTGTGACCTCTACCTCCTGGGTTCAAGCAATTCTTCTGCCTCTACCCCCCTAGTAGCTGGGATTAAAGGCGCTAACCACCACACCTGGCTATTTTTTTGTATTTTTAATAGAGATAGAGTTTTGCCATGCTGGCCAGGCTGGTGTCGAACTCCTGACCTCAGGTGATCACCTGCCTTGGCCTCCCAAAGTGCTGGAATTACAGGTGTAAGCCATCGCATCTGGATTTTTTTTTTTTTTTTTTTTTAAAGCAAGATCAAATAAATTCAACTTTTCTTGGTCCCACTGGCCTTTTTTACCATGGGCTCTGGCACAGGGTAGGTAAAATCCAACCTATGACTGTGACCCCGGGAGGGAAGCTATGTCTGGGCTCTGGGAACTGGTGACAGAGCTGGGCAGAACCTCATTCCTTCTGAGGATTCCATGTGGCCACTTGGGAGTTGGGAGGGCTGGCAAATTCTTTCCCTTTTGCCACCTGCCTTTGGTACAGGGAATGAAGTGTCCCACAGGAAAGACACTCTCAGAAACCTTCAGATCAGGGTTTCTCAATCATGGTAAAGGTGACATCCATGGGGCCTGGAGCAGGCTGAGTCACTGATGGAGTCAGCCTATGCACTGCAGGAGGGTGGGTGGCATCCCTGCCCTCCGTTCATCAAATATAGCTGACAAATACTGTAACAGCCAAAAATGTCTCCACTCATGGACAGACGTCCCCTAGAGGACAAGACTGCTGGTCTGGATGCACATCACCAAAGCTGCTGATGACCAACCAGAGCCTCATACAACATCGTCTAAATCTACCTGCTCACAGGCAACACAAGAAAAAATGATACAATGGCCACTAGAACCAAAAACCTTTGTTCATCAAAGGACACTACCAACGAAGTGAAAATGCACAAAATGGGAGAAAACATTTGCAGACCAGCCCGGGCATGGTAGCTCACGCCTGTAATCCCAGCAATTTGAGAGGCTGAGGTAGGCAGATCACCTAAGGTGAGGAATTTGAGACCAGCCTGGCCAACATGGCAAAACTCACCTCTACTAAAAATACAACAATTAGGTAGATGTGGTGGTGCATGCCTGTAATCCCAGCTACTCGGGAGGCTCAGACAGGAGAATCACCTGAACCCGGGAGGTGGAGGTTGCAGAGTCAAGCTCACGTGACTGCACTGCAGCCTGGTGACAGAGCGAGACTCTGTCTCAAAACAAAAAACAAAAAAACCCAGAAAATAACAAGCGCTGGTGGGGAAGTGGAGAAAGTGGAACCCTGTGCACTCTTGGTGGGTACACGAGATGGTACGGATGCTATGGAAAACGGCATGATCACAGAACAACCACGTGTGTGCCAGCTGTCTGACTGCTGGAAACATCTACCTCAAGAACTGAAAGCAGGGTTTATCACAGATACATCTGCATACCCACATTCACTGCAGCATTATTCACAAGGGAATATTCTTCAGCCATAAAAAGGAAGAAAATCCTGGAGGTTTCCCAAAGAAGGAACTCTGCCTCAAGACCATGGCACGAAATCCTAAGCTTTCAGCCTGCTGGCCTGGCCTGCAGATTTCAGACTTGTCAACTTCTGTAAGCAGCCAAGGGAGCTGTTTGTGTCCATGCCATAACATAAATCTGTGTGTGTGTGTGTATCTTTTGTTGGTTCTGTTTCTCTGGAGAAGAACCCTAATACAAAGCAACCTCTCAATGTCGATAGAAAAGACTTCAGCATGGCCAGGCGTGGTGGCTCATGCCTGTAATCCCAGCACTCTGGGAAGCTGAGGTGGGCAGATTACCTGAGGTCAGGAATTCGAGACCAGCCTGGCCAACATGGTGAAACCCCATCTCTACTAAAAATACAAAAATTAGCCAGACATGATGATGGGTACCTATAATCCTAGCTACTTGGGAGGCTGAGGCAGGAGAATCACTTGAACCCGGGAGGCGGAGGTTGCAGTGAGGCAAGATCACACCACTGTACTCCAGCCTGGATAACAGAGCAAGACTCCATCTCAAAAAAAAAAAAAAAAAAAAACAGGAACATCCTGGTCAACATCCGCGTCTCTACTAAAAATGCAAAAAATTAGCTGGGCATGGTGGCACGTGCCTGTAATCCCAGCTACTCAGGAGGCTGAGGCAGGAGAATTGCCTGAACCCAGGAGGCGGAGGTTGCGGTGAGCCGAGATCCCGCCATTGCACTCCAGCCTGGGTAACAAGAGCGAAACTCCGTCTCAAAACAAAAAACAAAAACCAGAAAAGGCTCCAGCAGCATCAGGAGAGGCAGAAAGACACAAATGGGCAGAGAAAGAACTGAGGGGACAGTGCTGGGTATGGGCCAGGGTGGCGCTCAGTGAGATGGGGAGAGGCTGAAGAGTCAGGCCCTGTGGGAGCAGCTGTGCTCTTGAGAGGAGGGCATAGGGAAGCTGAAGTAAAGCAGGACCAACATGTAGGGCGCGGGGATGGAAGAACAGAACCACAAGGCAGCTCTGGGCACCTGCCTGGGTCATGGCCAAGTGGCTGTACAGCCCCTGCAGCTGGGACCCTAAAGGGATTCAGGCAGCCCTGGGCACACAGGACCGCCCCAGGCCAACTGGACCAATGTAACCAAGCCCATGAGCTGGCACCCAACAGTTCCTATTTTTAGCAAGCCCCCCTAGAGGACAGAGTCCCTTGCAAGTTACCTTCATTCTCCAGCGGTGCATCTTGCTGAGCTGGGTCCAGGCATCCTAGCTCCTCCCCAGAAAGGTATACAGCCACGTCCTCCAAATTCACAGGCGCCTGGGGGAATGCACCCTGCTCAGTCCAGGCCCCAAGCAGGCTGCCTGCTCCTTGTGGGTCAGTGGCCAAGGGAGCTGCACCACGACTGCCCCTTGAGGCTGGGGCCAAGCGTGGTGTTGCAGCTGGTCCTCTCTACTCTTGTTAGAGTGGTGAGTCCTGGTGCCTCCGCCTATTGCTCCCCTGTGCCACTGCTGCAGAGCTGGGACACCACTGGGGAAGGACAGATTCGCCACGAGGAGCGGTGGACTCACTGCAGTCTCCCATGCTCCACAGGGAGATGAGAGCATCCCCTGGCTCCGTGGCCAGACAGCCCTGGGACCCTGATGCGGCAGACAGGGGACTTCAGGACACCTCTGGGCCAGTGGCTCCCAGATGTAGCACCAGACTGACCCGGACGCGTGATTAAAAAACAAGTGACTGGGTGCAGTGGCTCACACCTGTAATCCCAGAGCTTCGGGAGGCTGAGGCAAGAGTATCGCTTGAGCCCAGGAGTTCAAGACCAGCCTAGGCAGCACAGAAAGACTGTATCTCTACAAAAAAATAAAAGGACAGCTAGTCAGCTGTGGCGGTGCACACCTGTAGTCCCAGCTAACTCAGGAGGCAGAGGCAGGAGGACCTCTTGAGCTGAGGCTGCAGTGAGCTGTGAGCACACTACTGCACTCCAGCGGGAGCACAGTGCCAGACTTCAGCTCAAAACAAAAATCAAACCAACGAGTGAGCAAACAAAGGAGACTCCTATTCCACACCAGGGGTATGAGGGGAACCTGTATCTGCCCAAGTCCCAAGAGGCCCCTGTGCCCAGCAGGACAGGAGTCACCACTCTGTCTCACTGTTGGACCTTAGAATCTTCTGGGCATCACTGAGTACTTAAATGGCCTCTGGAGAGAAGAAAAGACTCCCCGGGAGGCCAGAGGAAGCAACTCCAGGGTTGGAGCGAAGGGAGGAAACTCTAGGGAGGAGCTCCTCTGACATCCAAAAACCTGGCCACCGGGAGAGAAGTCTCCCCTCAACAAGGAAGTGTGACACACAGGAGGTCGGTCCAGACCCTGGAACGCTGCAGACCAGGAGCATCCTACTCACCTGGGACCAGGCCGAAAGGAGGGGCGAGGCTGACGCCATCTCCTGATGCTGGGGAGCCGGAGGGCCTGGGAAGGAGCAGAGTCACCACCAGTCACACAGCTCATCCAGCACCGCCCCACAACCCCTGCAGTCAAAGGCCCTAACAGCCCAGTTGTTGCCCACCCAAGACCCACTCCTTGCTGGAGAGCCTGTGCACCCCAAATCCACGCAGGCCCTGTTCTGGCCGTACCCCATGCCCCATTCACCTTCAGCTTCCTTCCCTGCACCACTTCCCGTTCCTCCAAAGGGGTGTTGCTCACCCCTCTCTGGCCACAGCAGTGGGCCCCTCTGTGGCCTGTGGCTTAGCTGGGCTGGGGGCTGCTGGCTGGAGCATCGAGCCTCTTCCTCTGGAAACAGCTCCTCCGTCTGAGCCTCCGCCTGGCATATTAAGGACTGTCCCCCTATCCCGAGGGGCATCTCATCATCAGAAAGCAGCTCTGAGCCCTGCACACAGACAGAGATCTGCCCACCGGCTCCCAGGAGGGCAAAAGGAAAATCCCCACAGGGCCCCACCCCCTCATCTCAGGCACCCCAGCCACTGCCCACCCTTGGGCTCCCTGCAGCCAGCTCCCAGTCTGCTCTACTTCATGGTCTCTCCTGTCACTGCAATCGTGTTCCACTACATTGTTTTTTTTGAGATGGAGTCTTGCTCTGTCATCAGGCTGGAGTACAGTGGTACGATCTTGGCTCACGGTAACCTCTGCCTCCCGGGTTCAAGCGATTCTCCTGCCTCAGCCTCCTGAGTACCTGTGATTACAGGCGCCCACCACTGCGCCTGGCTAATTTTTGCATTTTTAACAGAGACGGGGTTTCACCATCTTAGCCAGGTTAGTTTCAAACTCCTGACCTCATGATCTACTCGCTTTGGCCTCCCAAAGTGCTGGGATTACAGGTGTCAACTACTGCACCCCGCCTAATTTTTGTATTTTTAGTAGAGACAGGGTTTTCACCATGTTGGCCAGGATGGTCTCGATCTCTTGACCTCATGATCTGCCTGCCTGATCCTCCCAAAGTGCTGGGATTACAGTCACGAGCCATCGCACCCAACCCCTTCACATTCTTACCCTCTATTCCTTGGTCTTCCTGATAGACCCTGGGCCAGAAGGGCCCTGAGTCAGCCCTGGCCTCATTTCAGAACTTCACATTACTGCATTTGCTGGATTTTTTTGAAATTATCTGCCAAGCACAGTGGCTCACACCTGTAATCCCAGCACTCTGGGAGGCCAAGCCAGGCAGATCACCTGAGGCCAGGAGTGTGAGACCAGCCTACCAACATGGTAAAACCTCATCTCTACTAAAAGTACAAAAATTAGCCGGGCATGGTAGCACATGTCTGTAATCCCAGTACTTGGGAGGCTGAGGCAGGAGAATCATTTGAACCCGGGAGGTGGAGGTTGCAGTGAGCTGAGATGCCATTGTACCAGCTTGGGTGACAGAGCAAGACTCTGTCTTGAGGTGGGGATTATCAACAGGTGCTCTGAGATGCTCTATTTCCTAATTCCAGAAAAGGTGACCTGGATGAAATTGGATCTTAGAATCTTAGAATTCAGCTCTGCAATAGCACTTGGACAAGAGACATCCCCAGACAACTGCAAACTCAGTGTCAGGGACCCCGTCCTGGGCTTCCTCTTGTCCAACATTCCACACCTCTAAGGGAGGGTAGTCCCCTTGTGGAGCAAAGCCTGCCCCTCTCTGCTCAAGGATGGCCCTGTGGTATATGTGCAGAGATGCCGGGGCAGTGACAGAAGGAAGCCATGCCAGGAACCCCAAACACGGAAACTGCAGGGGCCAGGAAAGAGGCTGGCCAGCTAGGAAGAAATCCTGAGTTCTTGGCCACCACAATTGCACAATTTTCTTTCTTTCTTTTTTTTTTCTTTTGAGACAAAGTCTCACTCTGTTGCCCAGGCTGGAGTGCAAAGGCACGGTCTTGGCTCACTGCAACCTCCGCCTTCCGAGTTCAAGCAATTCTCCTGCCTCAGCCTCCTGAGTAGCTGAGATTACAGGCACTTACCAACATGCCCGGCTAATGTTTGTATTTTCAGTAGATATGGGGTTTCACCATGTTGGCCACGCTGGTCTCAAATTCCTGACCTCAGGAAATCCACCTGCCTCAGCCTCCCAAAGTGCTGGGATTACAGGCATGAGCAACTAGGCCTGGCTTTTTTTTTTTTTTTCTTCTGAGATGGACTCTCACTCTGTCACCAGGCTGGAGTGCAGTAGCATAATCTCGGCTCACTGCAATCTCCGCCTCCCAGGTTCAAACGATTCTCCTGCCTCAGCCTCCTGAGTACCTGGGACTGCAGGCGCCCACCACCACTCCCGGCTAATTTGTATTTTAGTAGAGACAGGGTTTCACCGTGTTACCCAGGATGGTCTTGATCTCATGACCTCATGATCCTCCCACCTTAGCCTCCCAAAGTGCTGAGATTATAGGCGTGAGCCACCGCGCTGGCTGATGGGAAGGTTTTCTGACTGCAGTCAGCTCACCATCTGGTCAAGTGATAGGGGATATGTCTCCTCTGTTGGCTGTAAAAGACCAGAGGCGCTGCCACAGGGAGAAAGGTGGCTGGTAAGCACCACCCGTGTGCCCCATCCACGAAAGGCCCTGAAAAATGCACTGAAATAGCAAGTGGCAGGACTTTTCTATTTTAATCTTAAGGAGTTCAGTGACTGAAACTGAAGCAGGAGGAATGAGTAAGAGGCTTCCCCTGCTCCTCCAAATGGGACTGGAAGGAGGTGGAGAGGGACAGTCTAGAGATTTCAGGGCATCAGAAGGGTCCTGTCTGTGCCATCTAGTACAGTAGCCACTGGCCATGTGTGATGACTGAGCCCTTGAGAGGTGACCAGTTATGACTGAGGAATTAATTTAACATTCTACATAGCGGCCAGGTGTGGTGGCTCACACCTGTAATTCCAGCACTTTGGGAGGCCAAGGCAGGCAGTTCACTTGAGGCCAGGAGTTTGAGACCAGCCTAGCCAACACAGCAAAAACCCTTTCTCTACTAAAAATACAAAAATCAGCCTGGCATGATGACACATGCCTGTAATGCCAGCAACTTGGGAGGCCAAGGCATGAGAATCACTTGAACCCGGGAAGTGGAGGTTGCAGTGAGCTGAGATTGCACCACTGCACTCCTGTCAGGGTAAGAGAGAAACAGACTCTGTCTCACACACACACACTAAAGTACATAACTATAATTTTAAAAGGTACATGTGGCTAGCAGCTACTGTTTTGCATGGCACAACTCTAGAACCTCTGGGGGCTCTAACCCAAGTGCCCCCCATGCCCCTGGTCTTTCTTTCCAGTGTTCTCCCACTTTGGGGGTAGTTTCAACTCTTTGCCTTTGAAGGTATGCTGGACCTCTCTCCCACCAAAACCTGTGTTTGGGCCGGGCACAGTGGCTCATGCCTATAATCCCACCACTTTGGGAGGTCAAGGTCGGAGAATCACTTGAGGCCCGGAGTTTGAGACTAGTCTGGGCAACATGGCAAAACCTTGTCTCTACGAAAAATACACAAAATTAGCCAGGTGTGGTGGTGCATGCCGGTAGTCTCAGCTACATAGGAGGCTGAGGTGGGAGAATCACTTAAAGCCAGGAGGTTGAGGCTGCAATGAGCTGTGATCATACCCCTGTACTACAACCTGGGCAATAAGCGAGACCCTGTCTTAAAAAAAAAAAACAACCCAAAAACCTGTTTGGCCTATCCTAGGACAGTGTTCACAAACCATCTGCTGTAGCTAATAAAGGGCTATCAGGGTGGGATGTGGTTAATCAAAGGGTGGACATCCGTTGGCCACAGCTGAGAAACCTTTTGCAGGTGCCTTCTTAAATTCAGTGTCCAGGAAGCCACCCTTGGTCACCCAATGACCAAGGAATCTCCAGCTGCAAACCCCAGCAGCAGGGCCCCGTTTTCTCACCTGAGGGTCAAAATGCCCCCCACCTCACCCGCTGCCTGTGTTTCCTGGGCTCCCGCTGCAGCCCTTCCACGAGGACCACGGCCTCCTCACCGCTCTCCGGCTGCTGCTCGCGCACCCGAGCCTGGATCTCCCCTGGCAGCACTGTCAGGAACTGCTCCAGCACCAGCAGCTCCAGGATCTGCTCCTTAGTGCGCAGCTCCGGCCGCAGCCAGCGGCAGCACAGCTCCCAGAGGCGGCTCAGGGCCTCCCGGGGCCCAGCCACCTCCTGGTAGCAGAAGAGCCGGAAGAGCTGGCGGAAAGTCTCGGGGCTAGGGTCCTCTGTCTCCACGGAGGGCTCCTCTTCCCAGCAGAAGTCTTCCTCCACCTTCACAATCAGGATCTCATCCTGTTCCAGATCCTGCTCCAAGGGTGGCAGGGGCTGGAGGCCAGGGATGGTGGCCATTGTTCCAGCAGGCCTTATTCCTTTTTAGGCCTTAGAATTGAACCTGTCTCTCTCTGTATACCACTGGCCAGACACAGGAAGAGTTTTTTTCAGGGCCCTGTGGAGAGACGACAAAACCATTAGAAGGGCAGCGTTGGGTCTGGATAAGCCCTCTGTACTAGGAAGCCCTTGCCCTGGTTCCAAGACCAGCTCACTCCCCCTGAAAAAAGGAAAAGGGATGAAGTAAATCAATGCCATCTTTGCTACTAAACCCCTATTAATTCTGACATAATTTACTGAAGGGCTCTGGGCTTTGCTTCCTTACTGGGCAAACAGAGATGATAACAGGGCCTACACACACAGGCTACTGACAGAACTAAAAGGGATGGATGGGCCAGGCACAGTGGCTCACGCCTGTAATCTCAGCATTTTGGGAGGCCGAGGTGGGCAGATCGCGTGAGGTCAGGAGTTTGAGACCAGCCTGGTCAACGTGGTGAGACCCTGTCTCTACTAAAAATACAAAAATTAGCCCGACGTGGTGGTAGCACATCTGTAATCCCAGCAACTCGGGAAGCTGAGACAGGAGAATCCCTTGAACCCGGGAAGCGAAAGTTGCAGTGAGCTGAGACCGCGCCACCGCGCTCCAGCCTGGGCAATAGACTCCGTCTCAAAACAAAAACAAAAACAGTGTAAAAGGGATGTTTGCTGTCAGAACTCGAGAATCGTCATTTTCTATGATTACAGTGGGTCTTATACGGAAGGGGTTCCTTTGGAAATCTGATGAAAACTGGGGCCCTTCTGCCAAGCAAGGTACAGACTCTGCGTCAACTTGACCCTCAGTATCCGGGTCTGGCAAACCCTGAAGTCCCTACGAGACCCCGTCAGACACCCGCAATTGGGTGGTCACAACGGCACCCCAATTCCAGGGTCCTGGGAGGGCTGGGACCCCCAGGCCGGGCTGCTTTCCCGCCTCACCCCTCAGGTGGAGAGTGAGCCCTGCCCGAGGCCGCAGCACAGACCCCGGCGCTGGCGGGGACCGCGAAATCGAAGCTTCGGCCGGGACCCGCGTCCCCGCGCCCCCCGCACTCACTGGCAGAGCTGCGGGCCGTGGAAAGTTCGGGCCAGAGTCGGAGCGGTGGGTATGAGCTGGAGTGAGACCGCGGACCTCAAGTTTTGCAGCCCCGAACGCCAGAGCCGGGCCGAAGACCCGCAGACCAGGAATGGGAACCAGGCCGTGCGGCCGGGCCAGCGGGCGGCATTGTGGGTAACGCAGCCTTCGAATCATTGGCTGAGCCGGCTGTTTGGGCGTGGCAACAAGGCCGCGTGGGCGGGCCACGATGCGCATTGTGGTTAGTGTGGTCCTCAAAGGGATGCATTGTGGGTAGCGTAGCCCAGCATCTCAGTAAGCATGCGCTAGCATGCGGCACTGGGGAGTCTCGGCTACTCTTCCAGTCACTGTTCCACACCCGCTCTCCTCTGGCCTGAAAAAGTTCACAGGTGAAGGTAGCCTCTTCCCTGTTCAAAGCCAGCAAACTCGGTCGGGCATGGTGGCTCACGCCTGTAATACCAGTACTTTGAGAAGCTGAGACAGGTGGATCAGGCAGTCAGGAGTTCAAAGACCAGCCTATCCAAGATGCTGAAATCCCCGTCTCTACCAAAAATACAAAAATTAGCCAGGTGTGGCGGCATGCGCCTTGTAATCTCAGCTACTTGGGAGGCTGAGGCAAGAGAATCGCTTGAACCTGGGCGGCAGAGATTGCAGTGAGCCGAGATCACGCCACTGCACTTCAGCCTGGGCAACAGCAAGACAATGTCTCAAAAAAAAAAAAAAAAGACTAGAAAGGGATGGCCTCGAGCACTGCACAGCATGAGCAACACTGGATTAAATGAACAGACGCCACACAGACGATCCCGTGTGAATATCACTGTTGTAATGAAGTGGCTTTTTAAATTTATTTTCTTCTGAGACAATGTTTTGCTCTGTCGCCTAGGCTGGAGGGCAGTGGTACAGTCAGAGTTCACTGCAGCCTCAACCTGCTGGGCTCAAGCGCTCCTCCCACCTCAGCTTCCTGAGTAGCTGGAACTACAGGCCTACACCACCACACCTGGCTATTTTTTTTTTTTTTTTTTTTTGAGACAGAGTCTCACTCTATTGCCCAGACTGGAGTGCAATGGCGAGATCTTGGCTCACTGTAAACCTCCACCTCCCAGGGTCAAGTAATTCTCCTGTCTCAGCCTCCCAAGTAGCTCGGACAACTGGCATGCACCACCATGCCCGGCTAATTTTTGTATTTTTCGTAGAGACAGGGTTTTACCATATTGGCCAGGCTGGTCTCAAACTCCTGACCTTGTGATCCGCCTGCCTCGGCCTCCCAAAGTGCTGGGATTACAGGCGTGAGCCACTGCGCCTGGCCCACCTGGCTAATTTTTGCATTTTTTGTAGAGATGGGGTTTTGCCATGTTGGTCATGCTGGTCTTGAACTCCTGAGCTCAAGCAATCCGCCTGCCGTGGCCTCCCGAACTGTGGGGAGACATAGAGAGACCTCCTGGAATATCGCACGCCTTTCCCAAAACATCGCGCGAGAACTGAGCCCTCCGGCAGCAAAAGTTGGGGACGCTAGATTCAGGGAGCTGGCGGAACTACATTTCCCAGAGCGCCCCGCGCCCTCCCCGGAGGCCTTTTCCTGCGAGCTTCATTGGGTTGGATTGGCGGCCTGGAGGCTCTCCCCAGCTGCCGGCAATGCCAGGGGCTCAGAGGAAGCGGCTGCAGTCTCCCTGCGGCAGCGTCCTTGTCATCGAGACGGCGGGCCACTCCCTTGCGCGCTCTGAGCCTCAGTTTCCACATCTGTTAATGGGGGACGTTAAGCCTCAAGGTTATAACTCATGTAAAATCATTCATCCAGGCATATTAAATGCTTGTTGAGTCCTCTCATCTGCCTTTTCTTTCTTTCTTTCTTTTTTTTTTTGAGACGGAGTTTCGCTGTTGTTACCCAGACTGGAGTGCAATGGCATGATCTCGGCTCACCGCAACCTCCGCCTCCTGGGCTCAAGCAATTCTCCTGCCTCAGCCTCCCAAGTAGCTGGGACTATAGGCGCGCACCACCATGCCCAGCTAATTTTTTTGTATTTTTAGTAGAGACGGGGGGGGGTTTCACCATGTTGACCAGGATGGTCTCGATCTCTTGACCTCGTAATCCACCCACCTCGGCCTCCCAAAGTGCTGGGATTATAGGCATGAGCCACAGCGCCCGGCCTCATCTGCCTTCTTAACTAGGCGCTCTGGTGACCGAGTGCTGGCAGGTGCTGCTTTCATGGAGCTTGCATTCTACCAAGAGATGCATACAGTGGACAAAATAATTGCACAAAGAATTGTTTAATCACACCTTAGGCAAATGTTACCAAGGGATGTAAAAGAGGGGACCTGATAACTTCAGGGTGGAAATGACGGTTGAGCAGCCTTGGGTTAACCAGGGGAATTCGGGGAGAGGATTCCAGATGGATGGAGTGGCAGGTGCAAAGGTCCTGGAGCCAGAGAGAACATACTGCATTTGAGAGACAGAAAGAATCTCCTTTGAGATTCTCCGAAACCAGAGACTGGGAGATGTGGCTGGAGGGATGGGCAGGGCCCGATCATACTTGGAAACTCCGGTGAAGATTAAGGATTTTATCCCAGGAGTCAGTAGAGTTTGTGTGTGTGTGCGTGTGTGTGTGTATCTGGTGTGTGTTTGAGGCAGAGTCTAGCTCTGTTACCCAGGCTAGTTTGTGTGTGTGTGTGTGTGTGTGTGTGTGTGTGTGTGTGTGTTTGAGACACAGTCTAGCTCTGTTGCCCAGGCTGGAGTTTGGGGGGTGAGTGTGTGTGTGTGTGTGTTTGAGACACAGTCTAGCTCTGTTGCCCAGGCTGGAGTGCAGTGGCACGATCTTGGCTCGCTGGAACCTCCGCCTCTGGGACATCGAGGCTGCATTAAACTGTGATTGAGCCACTGCATTCCAACCTATGGGGTAAAGCAAAACTATCTAAAAGAAAAAAAAAATTGAAGAAGAAGAAGAAAAAGAATGATCCAGCACAAGTGCCGGTGGTGCAGAGGTTGAGAAACCTGGTCTATCTGAGCATTCCTAGAAATGCAGCTAACCCAAAGGGTGGGTGATTTTTTTGTTTTGTTTTGTTTTCTTTTTTTTTTTTGAGACGGAGTTTCGCTCTTGTTACCCAGGCTGGAGTGCAATGGCGTCATCTCGGCTCACCGCAACCTCCAACTCCTGGGTTCAGGCAATTCTCCTGCCTCAGCCTCCCGAGTAGCTGGGATTATGAGCATGCGCCACATAATTTTTTGTATTTTTAGTAGAGACGGGGTTTCACCATGTTGACCAGGATGGTCTCGATCTCTTGACCTCGTGATCCACCCACCTCGGCCTCCCAAAGTGCTAGGATTACAGGCATGAGCCACCGCGCCCGGCCCTGTTTTTGTTTTCTAGACAAGACAAAGTCTTGCTCTGTCTTGGAGGCTGGAGTGGAGGGGCAGGATCTCGGCTCACTGCAGCCTCCACCTCCTGGGTTCAAGTAATTCGCTTGCCTCAGCCTCCCGAGTAGCTGGGATTACAGGTGCACAACATCATGTCCGGCTAATTTTTGTATTTTTTTTTTTTTTTTTTTGAGACGGAGCTTCGCTATTGTTACCCAGACTGGAGTGCAATGGCACCATCTCGGCTCACTGCAACCTCCGCCTTCTGGGTTCAAGCAATTCTCCTGCCTCAGCCTCCCGAGTAGCTGGGACTACAGGTGCACACCATTATGCCCAGCTAATTTTTGTATTTTTAGTAGAGACAGGGTTTCACCTTGTTGACCAGGATGGTCTTGATCTCTTGACCTTGTGATCCACCCGCCTCGGCCTCCCAAAGTGCTGGGATTATATGGGATTATAGGCGTGAGCCACCGCGCCCGGCTTCTTTTTTTTTTTTTGAGATGCAGTCTGGCTCTGTTGCCCAGGCTGGAGTGCAATGGCACGATCTCGGCTCACTGCAACCTCTGCCTCCCCGATTCAAGAGATTCTCCTGCCTCAGCCTCCCCACTAGCTGGGATTACAGGTGTGCACCACCATGCCCAGCTAATTTTTGTATCTTTAGAAGAGACGGGTTTCACCATATTGGCCCGGCTGGTCTTGAATTCCTGACCTTGTGATCCACCCACCTTGGCCTCCTAAAGTGCTGAGATTACAGGCGTGAGCCACTACATCTGGCCTAATTTTTGTATTTCTTTAGCAGAGACAAGATTTCACCATGTTGACCAGGCTGGTCTTGAACTCCTGACCTTGTGATCCGTCCACCTCAGCTTCCCGAGGTGCTGGGATTACAGGCGTGAGCCACCCTGTGGGTCTGGGTGTGTGCTTTTGAAATGCGTAGCTGTTGCCGTATTGCCCAGGGCTAATCTTAAACCTGGGAATGTGCTGTGACATGGGCCAATATCTCAGCCAACTCAGATGTTGGTCGTGGGTGGTTTGCATGCCCACAGGCTCTGGAACCTCCCCAGTCATGGAGTCAGCCTAGGGTGTGGATGGAAAAGTAGGTTTGTGAATTCAACCAGCGGATTGCTAGGAGCAGGCAATGCAGGGTCTGTTCAGTCAGCAGCTGTGTCCTTATCACCTGCCGTGGGCTGGATGCAGGGATGAAACTGACACATCTCTGCATTCACTAAGTTTCCAGTGTAATGGGGGTAACTGACCAGAAAACAAACCAGGTGACATACACCCAGAGAAGGCAGTGAGTGACTTGACTGGGAAAGTCAAGGAGGGCTTCATGGAATAGGTGATTTTTAATTGGGATTAAATTGTTACTGTTGTCATTTGTTGAAGGCTCACCTTGCACCCAGCTTCCTAGATTATAGGGGCCACCCTTTCTTTTGTTAGCAAACTAACATAGTTTTGGCCCCCAAGGTGTGGGATTCTGTGAAGTCCATTGATTTTCTAGTTTTCTTTTTTTTTCTTTTGAGATGGAGTCCCACTCTGTCCGCCCAGGCTGGAGTGCAATGGTGTGATCTCAGCTTACTGCAACCTCTCGCATTCAAGCCTCCCACATTCAAGGGATTCTCCTACCTTGGCCTCCCGAGTAGCTGGGATTACAGGTGCCTGCCACCACACTCGGCTTATTTGTGTATTTTTAGTAGAGACATAGAGTTTCTCCATGTTGGCCAGGGTAGTCTCAAACTCCTGACCTCAAGTGATTCGCCTGCTTCAGCCTCCCAAAGTGCTGTGATTTCAGGCATGAGCACTGTGCCCAGCTTTTTTTCAAGCTTTCTGGAGAGTCCCTGGGCCTTGGAGCTCACCCATTCTGCTGCAGGTCCTCCGCCCTGGACTGCTGCTCCGTCTTGTTCAGGCCGCTTCTGTCTTCGTGCCATTTCTCCAGGTTGTGGTTGGCACATCCTAGGGAGTATCTCATTTCGTCTGAACAACTGTGCCATGTGCTTGGTACCATGATCCCCATTTTATAGATGAGGAAAGTGAAGCAAGGGAAGCCTAAGTAACTGACTTGCCTGCTGCGATTTTCACATCGGCATTGCCAGGCTCCACAGTGGGAGCTGTTTGCTGGCCATGCTAGTCCCTGGGGCAGCGAAATGAGGAAGGTGGGGGACAGTGGAATATGGAGATCCCCAGGCCACAAAGCTGGGGATTTTGAAAGTGTTCTTGGTGGCCTGTGGGCCTAGCCCTGGGTCAGGAGTAAGGGGCTGGGACAGACGAGAGAGCTGGATTTGTAACTCGGGTCTGGCTCTTGGGCACAGGAGGCTGGTTGTCCAAGGCATGTCTTCCCAGGCCTTCAAGATTCCTAGAGCCTTGGGTCTCACATTATTATTGTTTTATTTATTTGTTTAGAGACAGAGTCTTGCTCTGTTGCCCAGGCTGGAGTGCAGTGGCACCACCTCAGCTCACTGTAACCTCCACCTCCCAGGTTCAAGTGATTCTCCTGCCTCAGCCTCCCGAGTAGCTGGGATTACAGGCGCACACCACCATGCCCTTCTAATGTTTTTTTTTTGTATTTTTAGTACAGACAGGGTTTCACCATGTTGGTCAGGCTGGTCTTGAACTCCTGACCTCACCTTGGCCTCCCAAAGTGCTGGGATTACAGGGTTGAGCCACTGTGCCCGGTGAGTCTCACATTATTACTTCAAAAAGAAGGCTGGGTGCTGCTGTGCCTCACACCTGTAATCCCAGCACTTTGGGAAGCTGAGGCAGATAGATCACTTGAGGTCAGCAGTTCAAGACTAGCCTGGCCAACATGGTGAAACCCTGTCTTCACTAAAAACACACATTAGCTGGGCATGGTGGCAGGCACCTGTAATCCCAGCTACTAGGGAGGCTGAGGCAGGAGATTTGCTTAAACCTGAGAGACAGAGGTTGCAGTGAGCCCAGATCTCGTCCTTGCACTTCAGCTGATGTGACAGAATGAAAATCTATCTCAGAGGTTGGGTGTGGTGGCTCACATCTGTAATCCCAGCACTTTGGAGGCTGAGGTGGACGGATCAGGAGGTCGAGAGATCGAGCCCATGCTGGCCAACATGGTAAAACCCCATCTCTACCAAAAATACAAAAATTAGCTGGGCATGGTGGCCCATGCCTATAGTCCTGGCTACTCTGGAGGCTGAGGCAGGAGAATTGCTTTTTTTTTTTTTTTAAGATGGGGTTTCATCCTGATGGCCAGGCCGCTCTTGAACTCCTGACCTCAGGTGATCCACCCACGTTGGCCTCCCAAAGTACTAGGATTACAGGCGTGAGCCACCGTTCCCATGGAGAATTGCTTGAACCTGGAAGGTGGAGGCTGCAGTGAGCCGAGATCGTACCACTGCACTCCAGCCTGGCAACGTAGCGAGACTACATCTCAAAACAAACAAACAAACAAAAAAACAAACAAACTCCATCTCAGAAACAACAACGAAAACATACTTGGTTGGGAGCAGTGGTGATCCCAGTTTTTTGGGAGGCTGAGGTGGAAGGATCACTTGAGGTTGGTTAAAGGTCAGCCTGGGCAACCTAGCAAGGCTTATCTCTACAAAAAATTATAAAAATCAGCCAGTCAAGGTGGTGTCATGCCTGTAGTCTTGGCGACGCCAGAGGCTAAGGGAGGAGGATCGCTTGAGTCCAGGAATTTGAGGCTGCAGTGAGTTATGATTGCGGCACTCTACTCCAGCCTGGGTAACAGAGTGAGACCCGGCCCTTTATTTGTGGATAGCTCAAAGAAGTCATTTACAAAATGCCTTTTGTTTTCAAAGCACAACTTCTCATAAAAAGCAAGGTCCACATTGAATAGATGCTCGGATACACGGATGTGTGTTGAGGGTCACTGGGGACTCAGGAAGCCCCCGCAGGCCTGGGATCAGCCGGTGCTCAGAACTCCTTCTCAGAATCTTTGTGGGCCTCCCTGCAGATCTTGAAGGGCTGGTGGGAGGTCAGCTGTCCTGGGGAGGCCGGGGCCAAGTTCACCCAGCCTGGCCCTCGGGGCAGCAGGTGGCTTTCATTGAGTCTGATGATGCGGTAATTCTCGTAGTGCACGTTGTGGGTTATGTCCTTCAGGTCTTGGAGGTGGGAGCTGGGAGACCGGAGGCAGTCAGCCCCAACTGTGGTGTCCCCAGGGCCCCTCACCAGCCCCCCAGCCCCGGGCTCCCCACACCCTCACCGGATGAGCAGGTCTCTCAGGAGAGGAAACTCACAGTGCGCCATGTTCTCCACTGCAAGACACGGGACTCAGTATGGGCTCTGCTTAGTGTGCACTGAGTAAGCGCCTAGTGTAGGCACCACCCGACACCATTTCCCTTAGCCCTTTCCCCACATTTCTCCTTATCCTATCCCGCCTTCTCTTTGTTGGTTCATTCATTCACTGTTGTGTCCCCAGAGCCTGGTACAGGGGGCTCCTGCAAGTAGTTGTTGAATGAATGAATCCACAAATCATTATTGTATTATATGTGCAGTCGGCCCCTGTATCCATGGGTGCCCACTGTGGGACTTGAGCATCAGCAGATTTTGGTATCCCTGGGGGTCCTGGAACCACCCCCTGCAAATAGAGTGGAATGACTATGTGCCATATCATAAATAATGGTATAGTATATTTCTGGTCAGGTGCAGTGGTTCATGCCTGTAATTCAGGAGTTTGAGATGAGCCTGGCCAACATGATGCAACCCCGTCTCTACTAAAAATACAAAAATTAGCCAGGCGTGGTGGTGCACATCTGCAGTCCCAGCTACTTGGGAGGCTGAGGCAGGAGAATCACTTAAACCTAGAGACCGAGGTTGCAGTGAGCCAAGATCACTCCACTGCACTCCAGCCTGGACGACAGAGAAAGACTCTGTCTCAAAAAAAAAAAATAGTATAGTATACTTCTAATAATTATGATAATGCATCAGGGGCTATGTCCTGGCTGCCCCTTCTGTCTTACTTTCTCCAGCTCCCCGAGGTGGTCTCCTCTCCCTCCCTCCACAATCCCCTTCACTGTACTTCCCCCACCTGTCCTTGTCTCGTCAGCTCTGTGGGGACAGGGACCTTGTCAGTCTTGCCTTTACCGTGGACCACAGGAACTGCACATGTGGTGCCCGACACACAGTAGGCCCATCGTAAGTTCTGGCCAGCCTCTAGGGCACCCTTGGGTGTGGGCGTTGTGCCAAATGTGCCCCTCCCCACTCTAGCACCCTAGGAAGTTGATGCCACTGTGATGCCCACTCTACTGGGAGGAAACTGAGGCCCAGAGAGTCCAGAAACTTGCCCGTGTCCCCCCCAGCTGGAAAGAAGGACCATTCCCCAGGCCTGTTTGTCCTGTGGGCTTAACCTTTCAGGGCCCTGTGATGGGGACTAAGGATGCCAAAGGCACAGGGCTGCTCTGGCGTCCAACTTATCCTCACCCGAATCCTACCCAGGGGCCCCGAACTGACCTTCGATGACGCCCCACTTGGTCTTCCGGCCCAGGACACACCTCCCGTTCACCAGGTGCTGTTGATCAGCTCCTACCACAGCAAAGGGGATTCGCTCCTGGGAGAGGAGAGGAGACGGAGACAAGAGGATGCTGACTTTCTGGGGAGATGAGAAGAATCAGGGCACCCGGGCAGGAGAGAAGAGCCCCCTCTTTTCTGGGGAGGGAACATGGTAGAACCTGCTCAGAATTTCCAAGTTCTAAGACGTAAAGTCGGAGGGTGGGGCGTGGTGGCTCACGCTTGGAATCCCAGCACTCTGGGAGGCCAAGGTGGCCGGATCACCTGAGGTCAGGAGTTCAAGACCTGCCTGACCAACACAGAGAAATCTTGTTTTTACAAAAAATACAAAATTAGCTGGGCCTGGTGGCGCACACCTGTAATCCCATCTAGCCAGGAGGCTGAGGCAGGAGAATTGCTTTAACCTGGGAGGCAGAGGTTGCGGCGAGCCGAGATCGCGCCATTGCACTCTGACCTGGGCAACAAGAGTGAAACTCAATCTCAAAAAAAAAAAAAAAGCATCAAGTCTAATTGGTACCTCTGGCTGGGTGAGGTAGCTTATGCCTATAATCCCAGCACTTTAGGAGGCCGAGGTGGGAGGATCACTTGAGCCCCATGAGTATGAGACCAGCCTGTGGAACATGGTAAGACCCATCTCTGCAAAAAATAAAAATTTAGACAGGCGTAATCATAGCTCACTGCAGCCTCGAGCTCCTGGGCTCGAGTGACAACACCTGCCTCAGTCCCCTGAGCACTGGGGACCACAGGTGTACACCACCATGCCTGGCTACTGTTTTCTGTTTTTTTTTTTCTGTCTACTGTTTTTTAATTTTTCATAGAGATGAGTTCTCTCTGTGTTGCCCAGGCTGGTGTCTAACTCCTGTGCTCGAGTGATCTTCCTGCCTCTGCCTTCCAAAGTGCTGGAATTACAGGAGCGAGCTACAATGCACAGCCTGCATCATCGTCACCTTCTCTGCCTCCTCCTCCTCCTCCTTCTTTGTGTGTGTGTGTGTGTGTGTGAAGGAGTTTTTTTTTTTTTTTTTTTTTTTAGATGGAGTTTCGCTCTTGTTACCCAGGCTGGAGTGCAATGGCACAATCTCGGCTCGCCGCAACCTCCGCCTCCTGGGTTCAGGCAATTCTCCTGTCTCAGCCTCCTGAGTAGCTGGGATTACAGGCACGCACCACCATGCCCAGCTAATTTTTTTGCATTTTTAGTAGAGACGGGGTTTCACCAAATTGACCAGGATGGTCTCGATCTCTTGACCTCGTGATCCACCCGCCTCGGCCTCCCAAAGTGCTGGGATTACAGCTTGAGCCACCGCGCCCGGCCCCAGGAGTTTTGCTTTTGTTGCTCAGGCTGGAGCAGAATGGTGCAATATCAGCTAACTGCAACTTCCACCTCTTGGGTTCAAGTGATTCTCCTGCCTCAGCCTCCCCACTAGTTGGGATTACAGTCATGCACCACCACACCCGGCTAATTTTGTATTTTTAGTAGAGATGGGGTTTCTCCATGTTGGTCAGGCTGGTCTTGAACACCCGACCTCAGGTGGTCTGCCAGCCTTGGACTGCTGAGATTATAGGTGTGAGCCACCTCATCCGGTCCTGTATGTGGTTTTGTGGGCACACAGTCAGGCCCATGAGTCACTCTTGTCTATGGCTGCTTTTGAACCATGACAGCAGAGTTGAGTCATCGCAACAGAGAGCCTACAATTCACGAAGTCCAAAACATTTACTACTGGCCCTTTGCAGAAAAGGTTGTTGAACCCTATTGTAAACTTCAGTTGTATACTTGCTCATGGCCAGAAGCAGAAATTCAAACTTGTAAACTCCGAAATGACACATATAGGTTTGTTATTTCTGAGTTCATCTGTGATGGGGAATAATGTTGATGTTAATAACATTGGGCTCGATGGCTCACACCTGTAATCCCAGCACTTTGGGAGGCCGAGGCGGGCGGATCACCTGAGGTCAGGAGTTCGAGATCAGCCTGGTCAACATGGTGAAACCCCATCTCTACTAAAATTACCAAAATTAGCTGGGTGTGGTGGCATGTGCCTGTAGTCCCAGCTACTCAGGAGGTAGAGGTGGGAGAATCACTTGGACCCAAGAGGTGGAAGTTGCTGTGAACAGAGATGGTGCCACTACACTCCAGCCTGGGCCACACAACAAGACCCTGTCTACAGTGGTTTTTAGTGTTTGCCAGGGTTACGCAACCATCATCGCAATCTAATTTCACAATGTTTTCATCATACCCCCCCCCACCAAAAAACCCATACCTTTTAGCAATCCCTCCCCATTTCTCCCTCCCCCACAACCCCTGGGTACCACTAATCTACTTTCTATCTCTATAGATTTGCCTATGCCTATTCCGGATGTTTCATATAAATGATATAAATGGAATCCTATAACATGTGACCTTTTGTGTCTGAAATCTTTTTTTTTTTAATAAATTTTTTTTTCCTTTTTTTAAAGATGCAGTTTCACCATGATGGCCAAGCTGGTCTTGAACTCCTGACCTCAGGTGATCCACCCACCTCGGCCTCCCAAAGTGCTAGGATTACAGGTGTGAGTCACTGTGACACGCCTGTCTGAATTCTTTTTGTCTGAGAAACATGTTTACAAACTTCCTCCATGCTATAGCAGGTAGGTGACAGTGCTTCATTTCTTTTTTTTTTTTTTTTTTGAGACAGAGTCTCACTCCCTTGCCAGCCTCCTCAATAGTTGGGATTACAGGCGAATGCCACCACACCTGACTAATTTTGTACTTTTAGTATAAACAGTTTCACCGTTTTGGCCAGGCTGGTCTTGAACCCTTGACCACAAGTGATCCACCCACCTCAGCCTCCCAAAGTGCTGGGAATACAGGCAAGAGGCCCAGCCTTGAACTGTACACTTTTTTTCTTTTGAGATGGAGTTTCACTCATGTTGCCCAGACTGGAGTGCAGTGGCGTGATCTCAGCTCACTGTAATCTCCGCCTCCCGGGTTCAAGCTATTCTCCTGCCTCAGCCTCCGGAGTAGCTGGGATTACAGGCATGTGCCACCACACCCAGCTAATTTTGTATTTTTAGCAGAGCTGGGGTTTCACCATGTTGGCCAGGCTGGTCTTGAACTCCTATCCTCAGGTGATCCGCCTGCCTCGGCCCCCCAAAGTGCTGGGATTACAGGTGTGAGCAACTGTGCCCGGCCTGAACTGTACACTTTTAAAGGGCGAACTTCATTCCTTTCCATGGCTAAGGGACAGCCCACGGCAGGGGACAGGCCACATTGTTTCCCCACTCATCTGTTGATGCATATTTGGGTTGTTTCCACTTTCGGGACTAAAATAAGTGACGTTGCTGTGAACATTCGTGTACACGTTTTTCTGCAAGTGTGCGTTTTTGTTTCTTCTGGGTATATATGTAGCAGTTCAGTTGCTGGGTCATACAGTAACCGGATGCTTAACCATATGAAGAACCGCCAGACTGTTTTCCAAAGTGGCTCAACCATTTTGCTTTCCCTCCAGCGGGAGGCGAGGGTTTCACTTCCTCCTCATCTTCCGAAACACTTTGTTTTTTTTAAGATGAGTTTTTCTCTTGTTGCCCAGGCTGGAGTGCAGTGGAGCGATCTCGGCTCACTGTAACCTCTCTCTGCTTCCCAGGTTCAAGACAGTCTCCTGCCTCAGCCTCCCCAGTAGCTGGGATTACATGTGCCTGCCATGACACCTGGCTAGTTTTTGTATTTTTGGTAGAGACAGGGTTTCATCATGTTGGCCAGGCTAGTCTTGAACTCCTGACATTTCAACTTCTGCCCACCTCAACTTCCCAAAGTGCTGGGATTACAGATGTGAGCCACCATGCTGGCCAACACTTAAAAAAAAAAAAAAAAAAAACCATCCTAGGCAGGGGCCGGTGGGTCACACCTCTAATCCCTGCACTTTGGGAGGCCGAGGTGGCCGGATCACCTGAGGTCAGGAGTTTGAGATCACCCTGATCAACATGGGGAAACCTCATCTCTACTAAAAATAATACAAAATTAGCCAGGCATGGTGTCACATGCCTGTAATCTCAGCTAGTCAGAAGGCTGAGGCAGGAGAATGGCTTAAACCCGGGAGGGGGAGGTTGTGGTGAGCTGAGATTGCACCAATGCACTCCAGCCTGGACAAGAATAAAACTCTGTCTCAAAAACAGAGAAAACAAAACAAACAAACAAAAACCATCCTAGTGGGTGTGAAGTGGTGTCTCACTGTGCTTTTTTTTTTTTTTTTTTAACTTTTGAGACAGAGTCTCACTCTGTGGCCCAGGCTGGAGTGCCGTGGCGTGATCTTGTTCACTGCAACCTCTGCCTCCCAGGTTCAAATGATTTTCCCACCTCAGCCTCCCAAGCAGCTAGGATTGCGGGTACCCGGCACCATGCCCAGCTCATTTTTGCATTATTAGGAAAGATGGTGTTTCACCACATTGGCCAGTCTGGTCTCAAATTCCTGACATCAGGTGGTCGGTCTGCCTTGGCCTTCAAAGTGCTGGGATTACAGGTGTCAGCCATGACAGCACCCTGCCTTGTGTTGTCTTTTATTGCCTTTTTTTTTTTTTTCAATCAGGGCCTCACGGTGTCATCCAGGCTGGAGCACAGTGGCACCATCATGGCTGTCTGCGGCCTCCACTTCCTGGGCTTACATGATCCTCCTGCTTCAGCCTCCTGAATAGCTGGGACTACAGCCATGTGCTGCCATGCCAAGCTAATTTTTGTGGTTTTTTGTTGAGATGGGGTTTTGAGGGCTCGGCACTGTGGCTCATGCCTGTAATTCCAGCACTTTGGGAGGCTGAGGTGGGTGTATCACGAGGTCATGAATTTAAGACCAGCCTGGCCAACATGTTGAAACTCGGTCTCTACTAAAAGTACAAAAATTAGCTGGGCATGGTAGCACGTGCCTGTAGTCCTAGCTACTTGGGAGGTTGAGGCAGGAGAACTGCTTGAACCCAGGAGGCAGCGGTTACAGTGAGCGGAGAGTGTGCCACTGCACTCCAGCCTGGGTCACACACACACACACACACACACACACACACACACAGAGTGATGGGGTTTTGCAATGTTGCTCAAGCTGGTATTGAACTCCTGTACTCAAGGAATCCTCCTGCCTCAGCTTCCCAAAGTGCAGGGATTGCCACCACCCTCAGGCCTCTTTTATTGTTGAGCTGTAAGAGTTTTGTTGTTGTTTTGAGATGGAATCTCGCTCTGTCACTCAGGCTGGAGTGCCATGGTGCAATCTTGGCTCACTCACTGCAACCTCTGTCTCCCTGGTTCAAGCAATTCCCCAGCCTCAGCCTCCCAAGTAGCTGGATGTAAAGGCATGCACCACCACAGCCAGCTAAATTTTTGTATTTTGGCAGAGATGGGGTTTCACCATGTTGGCCAGGCTGGTCTCCAGCTCCTGACCTCAATTAATCCGCCCGCCTCGGCCTCCCAAAGTGCTGAGATTACAGGCATGATCCACTGTCCCCAGCCAAATGTTCTTTTTTTTTTTTTGAGACGGAGTTTCACTCTTGTTACCCAGGGTGGAGTGCAATGGTGCAATCTCAGCTCACCGAAACCTCCGCCTCCTGGGTTCAGGCAATTCTCCTGCCTCAGCCTCCTGAGTAGCTGGGATTTACAGGCTTGAGCCACTGGGCCCGGCCATGTTCTTTATATATTCAGGATATAAGCCCCTTATTGGATATGTGATTTGTAGACATTTTCTCTGATTCTGTGGGTTGTGAGTGTGAGCTGTTATTTCTTGCTCACCTTGAGTTTGTGGATGTGTGAAGAGTCGTATCTGCTGGGAATATGTGCACATTTCCGAGATGTAGAGCGAGATGAATCTTTGGGTGGAAAGGGTGGGTGGGAAGGAAATCACCTCACCCACCTCCCACCCCACAGCCTCTCACCCGTAACTTGCTGTTGAGGATTTTGTCATTGATGTCCTCGTCCAAGCACTTCTGGGGGTAGACCTCAATGCAGTGAGTCCTCAGGTTCTGCTGGATCTGGATATCCCGCATGGGTGACCTCAGCCTGCCCTGCCCACTCTGCCCTCTGCACCACTGACCCCAGCCCTGCCCCAGGCACCCAGATCACCCTGCGCCTGAAGGTCTCTCGTTCCTCCATGGTCAGGCTGTCTGCCCGGGCGATCACAGGCACCACATTTACAGTCTGGCACAGCCGCTGCAGGAACTCAATGTCCAGGGGCCGCAGGCTGCCGGGCAAGGCAGTGATGGGGGCAGCGGTGGTGGTGAATGTATAAGTGACAGCGGGTGGGGGTGCACCCCACAGCCTATGTCTGGGATCCCTACTCCTCCTCCATGCCCCAAGCCGGTGGTCCTTGCCTTGCAGGTGCAGCCCCTTACCAGTGCCCAGTGGGTGGCACAAAGTACACGCAGCAGTGCACGCGGGTGTCCGGGATGTGGCGCTGACGGGTGATGAGGATCTCCTCCTGCAGGTACCGCTCATACTGCTCGTTGATGTAGCCCAGGATGGGGTCCCAGCTGGGGCGGGAGATGGACCCTCCCCTCAGAAGTGTGCTGTGCCCGGGGAGTCCCATCCCTCTTTGCTGCGTCCTCTGGGTGATCCTCCCTTGGGATAAGGAATTGTCCCAGTTTGCCTGGGACCTCTGGGTCACCCCATTACTTTCCTCCACTTCCTGTACCATCACAGAGACATAAAGAGACCTCCTGCCATTCTCCAGTGGAGGACTCGGCTTCACTGTCTATAAAATGGGGACAACAGTGGCACCTACTTTGCAGGTAAGGGAGGGGTGAGCATTAACTGCAATAAAGGGCCACCAAGGACTCTCGCCTGATGGTGGCAGGGGTCTCCTTTCTCCTCTCCGAGTCCCTTCCCCTCTGGGATATTGTCTGCACTGTAAGTAGACAGAAAGGTCCAAAACAGGAGTCAGGCCAGGCACAGTGGCTCATGCCTGTAATCCCAGCACTTTGGGAGGCTGAGGCAGGAGGATCGAGTGAGCCCAGGAGTTAGAGGCCAGCCTGGGCAATGTGGGGGAAACCCCAACTCTACAAAAAATACAAAAATTAGCTGGGTGTGGTGGCACGTGCCTGTGGTCCCAGCTACTCAGGAGGCTGAAGCAGGAGGTTCGCTTGAGCCCAGGGTGGTCGAGGCTGTTGTGAGCTATGATCTTACCCCTACGCTCCAGCCTGGGAAACAGAGTGAGACGTTGTCTCCAAATAAATAAATAAATGAAATGAAATGAGGCACAGTGGCTCAGACCTGTAATCCCTGCACTTTAAGAGGCTGAGGCAAGCCAATCACCTAAGGTCAGGAATTTGAGACCAGCCTGGCCAACATGGTGAAACCCCATCTCTACCTAAAAAAAAAAAAAAAAAAAATAGCCAAGTGTGTTGGCGGATGCCTGTAATTCCAGCTGCTTGGGAGGCTGAGGCAGGAGAATTGCTTGAACCCAGAGGTGGAGGTTACAGTGAGCCGAGATTGCACCAGAGCCCTCCAGCCTGGGCCACAAGAGTGAGACCCTCTCAAAAGACAAAAGCAAAAATTAGCCGGAAATCTCTTGAACCCAGGAGGCGGGGGTTGCAGTGAGTCGAGATTGTTCACTGCAGCCTAGGCAATAGAAGGAGACTCCATCTCAAAAAAAAAAGAGCACACGGCCTGGCTGTTCCAGGTCTGGGGTGTTGCCCAAAGGTTGGAGGGGGCAGGGGCAGGGACAGGAGGGGACAGCCATGACTTGGGCCCCAACCTCAAGAACCCACCACTTGTCATTGTTGATTTGGTCCCCGAAGCCGGGCGTGTCGATCACTGTCAGCTTCAGCTTCACGCCCTTCTCCTCGATGACTGTGGAGGCAGCGCGGAGTCGGGAGAGATTGGACTGGGATGGGAGGGGGTGGGGTGGGGTGGGGTGTGGTGTGAGCAGGGACTCACTCACCATGGGTCACTGAATGCAGCTGCAGCGTCTGGGGTATGGGCACCTTCAGGCCTGGCAGGTTTGACTTCCACACTTTGGACTTGAACAGTGTGTTCAACATGGTGGACTTGCCCAGCCCGCTCTGCCCTGGGAGTGGCGAGCGCATGACAGCGGTTAGGGTGGGCATTTTAGGCAGTTTTTCTCTAACTCTTTACTTTTTTATTTTATTTTATTTTTGGAGACAGGGTCTCAATCTGTCACCCAGGCTGGAGTGCAGTGATGCAATCACAGTTCACTGCAGCCTCAACCTTCCCAGGCTCTACTGACCCTCCCACCTCAGCCTCCTGAGTAGCTGGGACTGCAGGTGCATGCCACCGCGCCCGGCTAATTTTTATACTCTTTTTTTTTTAAGGCAGGGTCCCACTCTCACCCAGGCTGGAGTGATCTCAGCTCACGGCAACCTCCCCCTTCAGGATCAAATGACCCTCCCACTTCAGCCCTGCAAGTAGCTGGGACTACAGGTGCACACCACCATCCTTAGCGAATTTTTAGAAGTTTTTTGTAGAGATGGGGTCTTGCTGTGTTGCCTAAGCTGGTCATGAACTCCTGGCTTCAAGGGATCCTCTGCTTCAGTCTTGCTCTGTTGCCCATGCTAGAGTACAGTGGAGCAATCCAGCAACCTCACTGCAACCTCTGCTACCCAGGTTCCAGCAATTCTCCTGCCTTAGCCATCTAAGTAGCTAGGATTACAGGCACCTGCCGCCACGTCTGGCTTTAGTTTGTATTTTTAGTAGAGACGAGGTTTTAACGTGTTGGCCAGGCTGGTTTCAAACTCCTGGTCTCAAGTGATCCTCCTGCCTTGGCCTTTCTTCCTTTCTTTTTTTGAAGTCTCGCTCTGTTGCTCAGGCTAGAGTGCATTGGCCTGATCTTGGCTCACTACAACCTCTGCCTCCTGAGTTCAATCCATTCTCCTGCCTCAGCCTCCCAAGTAGCTGGGACTACAGGCGCCCGCCACCACGGCCATCTAATTGTATTTTTTTTTGAGATGGAGTCTTGCTCTGTTGCCAGGCTGGAGTGCGGTGGCATGATCTCGGCTCACTGGAACCTCCGCCTCCTGGGGTTCAAGCGATTCTCTGTCCAAGCCTCCAGAGTAGCTGGGATTACAGGCGTGTGCTAATTTTTTGTATTTTTAGTAGGGACGGGGTTTCACCTTGTTAGCCAGGATGGTCTTGGTCTCCTGACCTCGTGATCTGCCCGCCTCAGCCTCCCAAAGTGCTGGGATTGTAGGTGTGAGCCACCTCGCCCGGCCAAGCTAATTGTATTTTTAGTAGAGACAGGGTTTTACCATGTTGGCCAGGCTGCTCTGCCTAGCCTCCAAAAACGCTGGGATTACAGGAGTGAGCCACTGCGCCCGGCCCTGCCTCAGCCTTTCAAAGTGCTGGAATTACAGGCGTGAGCCACCACGTCCGGCCTCGTTTTTGTACTTTTTGTAGACACAGGGTTTTGCCTTGTTGCCCAAGCTAGTCTCGAACTCTTGAGCTGAAGTGATCCACCCACCTCAGCCTCCCCAAACCCTGGATTATAATTATGAGCCACCGCTTCAGGCAGATTTTTGTCTTTTAATGACTCAGCATTTCTCAAATTTTTCAGTGGCAACATCCCTGTGAGGTGCCATTATCAGTCCCACTTAACCGTCAGGGAGGGACAACAGTCTGCCAAAGGTGAGGCCACAGGCCCAGGTTTGCAGGGTAGCACTGTGGGTCTGTCCCATGGGAGGGCCCTGCCTCTCACTCACCTACCACCATGATGTTGAACTCAAAGCCCATCTTCATGGCCTTGATCTTCAGCTGTTCCAGCACAGCCTCGACACCCACGGGACCAGGCATCTCGCAGGGTGGGGTGCTGGGACTGGAGGGCCTCGAGGATGAGCAGGGAGAGGGCGAGTGCCTCAGGGGCTCCATGGGGGCCGAGGGTTCCAGATGCCTGTCACCAGGTGGGTGGGGAGAAGGGGGTCGCTGGGGCTCAGAGGAGCCCACACTAGCCTCAGATCTGAACCCCAATTTGAGCTTGGCTGCTGGCCAACCCCCTCCACACATGCCTCCGGTGTACCCTAAGTGCCCATAGTCCCAGGGGCGTGGTGAGGGGCGTTTGGGGAGCTGTTTCTCCAGGGTGCCTCAATCCCCATCCAGAGAAGCTCCAGCCCCAGCGGTCTGCCCTGTCCCTACCTACAGCCCAGGCAGGCCCCTCAGGTCACTTCTCCCAGCAAAGCCTGGTGGGCTGGGTAGAGTCCAGTATTGGTGTCTGTAGATAGCTGGAATCCTGGAGGGGTCGCAGGGAGTGTGTGTGGGATGAAGTGGCTCCCGTCCCAGCAGGGAACAAGGCAGGGGGCTCAGGATGAGGTGCCCCTACCTACCCCAGGGGGACACACATCAGAGTTGATAGAGATGGAGAGCGAGCGAGATTGCACAGGCGTGAAGGTGACGGAGACACAGAGAGAGAGAGAGATAGACCGAGGCCAGGCAGGGAAGATGGCTAGGAAGGAGCGGAGCGGGAGCCCTCCTGGCAGGAAGAGAGAAGCAGTGTGGTGTGGCACCTGGTGCATGTGGGTCCTGGTGCACAGGGGTCTGCTCCGAGGAGCTGCCTTGTCCTGGCAGGGCCTGGTGTGTGTGACGGGGGAGGTGAGAGGGTGACAGTTAACTGAAGAATCTGAGCTCCATCCCCTCCTTCCTGTGACCCCCACCCCCACCTGGGGGCTTGTCTGCAGCAGGAGCAGGAACTCTTACCCCTCTAATCCTTGCAATGACCCTAGCCTAATAATGCAACAATCCCCACCCCACGTAGAACCAGGAGCCTGAGGCCCCCACGTCAGTTGGGCTTCTACCTCCAAGCTCACACCCTCAACCCCTCTGCTGGGACGAGCAAACCTGGACCCCACAGCTGGCTAGCGGGACATCTGTGTCCATTCTTGGTGCCATGTGTTTTAAGTTGCCAGTGTCAAAAAAATTATGAGATTGCTTTACGAATATTTACCCAGTCCTGACTGCACATGGCATCGTTCTAGGAGCCCAGAGATGTTAACTTGTTTACTACTGCCTCTTTTCTTGTTTACAGAAATATCTAGATTTCCAGTGTATCTTAGAGATTATCGTGCTGACTTGAGATGCCCTCTTTAAATGGGTCATGTGCTTTCCAGACCGCCTTGGTCCTCACCCCTCCCTTATCATCTCTCTGATAAGCTTTTGTTTTGTTTTGTTCTGGAGACAGAGTCTCGCTCTGTTGTCCAGACTGAAGGGCAGTGGTGCAACCGTGGCTCACTGAAACCTCTGCCTCCCAGGTTCAATCGATTCTCCTGCCTCAGCCTCTCAAGTAGCTGGATTACAGGTGTGCACCACCACGCCTGGCTAATTTTATTTTATTTTTGAGATGGAGTCTTGCTCTCTCGCTCAGGCTGGAGTGCAGTGGTGTGATCTCAGCTCACCGCAACCTCCACCTCCTGGGTTCAAGTGATTATCCTGTCTCAGCCTCCTGAGTAGCTAGGGCTACAGGCCCTTGCCACCATGCCCGGCTAATTTTTTTATTTTTAGTAGAGATGGGGTTTCACCATGCTGGCCAGGCTGGTCTCTAACTCCTGACCTCGTGATCCACCCACATTGACCTCCCAAAGTTCTGAGATTACAGGCATGAGCCATTGAGCCTGGTCTAATTTTGTACTTTTCAGTAGGGACAGCATTTCTCCATGTTGGTCAGGCTGGTCTTGAACTCCCAACCTCAGGTGATTGCCCTGCCTCGGCCTCCCAAACAGCTGGGATTATAGGCATGGGCCACTGCACCCAGCCCATCATGGAACCTGTTTTTAAGCTTCATCTGTGGTGTATATTTGTCAGTGCTTCCTTTTTTTTTTTTTTTTTTTGAGACAGAGTTTCACCCTTATCACCCAGGCTGGAGTGCAGTGGCAGGATCTTGGCTCACTGTAACCTCCGCTTCCCAGGTTCAAGTGATTCTCCTGCCTCAGCCTCCTGAGTAGCTGGGATTACAGAAGTCTGCCACCATGCCTGGCTAATTTGTGTATTTTTAGTAGAGACAGGGTTTCGCCATGTTGGTCAGGCTGTTCTTGAACTCTTGATCTCAGGTGATCCACCCACCTTGGTCTCCCCAAGTGCTAGGATTACAGGTGTGAGCCACTGCACCTGGCCTGAGTGCCCTTTTTCAATAATCATGGGTAATTTCCCCAGTTCACCTAGAAGCAGAATTACTGGGTCTTACGGTAACACTGTGTGATTTTTCTTTCTTTGAGGTAGAGACCGGCTCTGTTGCCCAGGCTGGAGTGCAATGGCACCATTATGGCTCACTGCAACCTCTGCCTCCAGGTTCAAGTGATTCTCCTGCTTCAGCCTTTAGCTGGGATTACAGGCATGTGACACCATAACTGGCTAATCTGAGATCACGCCATTGCACTCCAGCCTGGGCAACAGTGAGACTCTGCCTTAAAAAAAAAAAAAAAAAAAAAAGGGTCAGGCATGGTGGCCCACACCTGTAATCCCAACACTATGGGAGGCCGAGGCAGGTGGATTACCTGAGGTCAGGAGTTTGAGACCAGCCTGGCCAACATGGTGAAACTCCATCTCTACTAAAAGTACAAAAAAGTAGCCAGGCATGATGGTGGGAGTCTGTAATCCCAGCTACTCAAGAGGTTGAGGCAGGAGAACTGCTTGAACCTGGGGGTGGAGACTCTAGTGAACCGACATTGCACATTGCACTCTAGTCTGGGAAGACCAAAAGTCCGTCTTAAAAAAAAAAAAAAAAAAAAAAGGAGGGAGGAGGATTAGAGTCAGAGGAGACATGAGCCTGGAAGCAGAGGTTGGAGGGTTAGAGGGATGGGAGACTGTGAGCAAAGGGATGCTGTCAGCCTCTGGAAGTTGGAGAAGGCCAGGGTTGGACTCTGCCCTAGAACCTTCAGGCTGAACCCAACCCGGCTGGCCCATTATAGACTCTGACCCTCAGAACTGTGGGGTAATACGCTTGTGCTGTTTGAAGCCGCTGAGTTTGCGGTAACGTTACAGCAGCATTGGGAAATGAATACATTAGGTGTGCGACGGGCTAACTGCTTAACTTCTCTAGGCTTCTGTGTCCTCATCTGTAAAATGGGAAAAGCAGTGATACCCACTTTAAGATTGCCATGAGAAATAAGCTAGGTGACAAAGTACAGTGCGAGGGGCAGAGCCTCACATTGGCTGATATTTTCAACGATTAAAATAGAGAAAATAAGGACGGTGAAGACTCCTAGCCAGCCTTCTGCATCCGCAGGTTCCAGATCTGTGCATTCAGCCAACCAGATAGAAATATTTGGAAAAAAATCACATTGGTACTGGACACGTACAGACCTTTTAATTATTCCCTAAATAATGTAACAACTATTCATCTAGCATTGACATTATATTGAGTATATATATATATACATATGTATATATATACATATATTTTTTTTGAGACGGAGTCTTGCTCTGTCACCCAGGTTGGAGTGCAATGGCGCCATCTTGGCTCACTGCAGCCTCCTCCTCTGGGATTCAAGCCATTCTCCTGCCTCAGCCTTCCTCCTGAGTAGCAGGGATTACAGGTGTGTGCCACCACACCCAGCTAATTTTTGTATTTTTATTTTTTTTGAGACAAGAGTCTAGCTCTGTCACCCAGGCTGGAGTACAGTGGCACAATCTTGGCTCACTGCAACCTCTGCCTCGCTAGTTCAAAGTGATTCTCCTGCTTCAGCCTCCTGAGTAGCTGGAATTACAGGTGCCTATCACCACACCGGGCTAATTTTTTTATTTTTAGTAGAGACGAGGTTTCACCATGTTGGTCAGGCTTGTCTCGAACTCCTGACCTCAGATGATCTGCCCGCCTCGGCCTGATCAGTGCTGGGATTACAGGCGTGAGCCACTGCACCTGACCAATTGTTTTTAGTAGGGATGGCTTTTTGCCATGTTAGCCAGGACGGTCTCAAACTCCTGACCTCAAGTAATCTGCCTACCTTGACCTTTCGAAGTGGTGGAATTACAGGCATGAGCCACCATGCCTGGCCATTATAAGTAATCCAGTGATTTTTGATTTAAACTGTAGAAAATATGCAGAGTACTGCATCAATTTATATCAGAGACTTTAGCATCTGTGGATTTTGGTATCCATGGATGTCCTCGAACCAACGCCTGAGGATAGCAGGGGCAACTATATGATGCCAGGCACAGCTGTCCTAGCTGCCAGAGTCATGGGATGCAGGCAGGTTTTCTCCCCCTTCACCCTCCCTCCCTTCGCCCCCTCACCTCTTTCCTCCCTTCTCTCTCTTTCATTCACGAAGTCAGCAGTGGCCAAGCACCCACGTATTCCCAGCTGCGTATCTGGGATACTGAGGAAATGTAGGAAGTCCCAGGACTGAAGAAGCCACAGGCCCTTGCCCTCCCTGGGCCTTGAGCAGTGGGAAGCCAGGAAGCACACCTGCCGGGCCTGGGCCCTCTTCCCTGGGCTTGGCGGCCTCTGCTGGCCCTGGGGAGGGCGGGGCTGGTTGCCAAGGCCTCAGGTGGTGTGGAGCCGGAAGCAGGAAGCAGCCTGTGCTCCCCAGGACCTAGGACCTGCCTGGCTGGGGGCAGCTGCACACTTCTAGGAGGTAGGTGGGGGGGGTCTGGGGGCTGCGCTGCCAGTGGGAAAGGGAGGAGACAGTGGCTGGGGAGGTTGTCCATGCTGGGGTCAGGGTAGGGACCACAGGGCTGGGCAAGGAGAAGGGCTGGGTCTGGGGCCATGGGAGTGGGAGGTGGCGAGGAAGCTGGTGCTGGGCCAGGAGTGGGCAGACGCTGGGCTCTGGGAGGCCTGGATGTGGTCCCCACTGAGCCGAGCCCAGGATTCTGATGCAGCCTCTGGGGGCCAGGGCAGGTGGCACTGTGGACGCCGAGATGGCTGTGTCCACAGAGGAGGTGGAGGCCACAGTTCAGGAAGTCCTGGGGAGACTGAAGAGCCACCAGCTGTTCCAATCCACATGGGACACTGCTTCCTTTATCATCTTCCTCACCTTCGTGGGTAAGTGTGGCTGCAGCCTCCGGGCCCCATCAGACCCCTGCCCAGGTCCTAGGTTGGGGGCCACACCTAGACACCTGCCCTATCCCCAGGCACCGTGCTGCTTCTGCTGCTGCTGGTCGTTGCCCACTGCTGCTGCTGCAGCTGCTGCGGCTCCCCCAGGCCCTACAGGGAAAGCCCCAGGAAGGTGAGCCCCTGGAAGGTGAGCCCCGCTGGCCTCTGGGTGCCAGGGGACCTGCACAGAACTGTACCAGGGGTGGAGAAGGGGGGCGAAGGGGTGGAGGAGGGGGGCGAAGGGGTGGAGGAGGGGGGCGAAGGGGTGGAGGAGGGGGGCGAAGGGGTGGAGGAGGGGGGCGAAGGGGTGGAGGAGGGGGGCGAAGGGGTGGAGGAGGGGGGCGAAGGGGTGGAGGAGGGGGGCGAAGGGGTGGAGGAAGGGGGCGAAGGGGTGGAGGAGGGGCGGGCAAAAGGGTGGAGGGGGGAAGGAGTGGAGGAGGGGGATAGAGGGTGGTGGTGGAAAGGGGGCTTACCCCTCCTAGGGAACAAGGAGCAAACCTGCTGGGTTCCTCTGTGCTTCTCTTGCAGGAAAAACCCAAGGGAGTGGATAATTTGGCCCTGGAACCCTGACCCTGTGTGTCCTGCCTGTTGGCAGTAACAAAGCCTTCTGTCTGCCCAAAGTCTGAGTCTGCAGTGTCTTCCAGCCCATCTGGGTGGGTGACATGGGACTTGTCGCCCTACTCAGGTGCCCACCTGGCCCCTCCAAGCCTTCAGCTGGCACAACTGTGCCAGGTCACCTAGCTGGGAGGGCAGCTGGTCTCAGACTCAGCGGCTCCAACTCCCAGGTGGAGCTCTTGACATCACCCTGGGGTCTCTTGGCAACCAGGGGGTCTTCTCTTGAAGGTGGGTTCTGTGTCCAGCCAGGGGTCCCTGCTCAGACAGACAGACAGGGGCTCCAGGTGGAGTCTGATAATCTTTATTTCTTAGAGGATCCTGGGTTGGGGCTGTGGAACACACAGGCACCAGCACTACCTTCACTCCTGGGATGGCTCTGTCTGCACTGTTCCTGCCCGTCTCCTGGGATTCACAGCTCAGTGCCACCACCTACCCTATGCCCTCCAGGGTGAGGGGAAAGCGAAGGGGAGAGGAAGGAGAGCCCTGGGCCTGGCCCTGCCCTGAGTTCAAAGATTCCCATGGTGATCAGGAGGGCAGGGTTGGGAATATGGGACTCTCTCAGCCCCGCCTTCCTGACCTCCCGCTAACACCCCACCAGACCAGCCTCCCTTCCTCCTGACACTTCCAGTGTCTGCTCCCAGCAGTGCAAATGTGTTAGGTGGGGGAGGGGTGAGGTATGGGAAAGAAACAGCAGCCTGGCGTTGGCTGGTGCTGGCGCCGGTTTGAGTAGGGACTGGGGTCACCTTCATGAGGACAGGCTCCTGGGTGCTGTGCTCAGAAGGGTCTGTAGCTCCAGTAGCTGGAGAACACAGAGACCTGCAAGGGGAGGGTTTAGTGAATGGCTGGATGCAGGGCACGGGTGGCCCAGATGAGATGTCAAGGTCACCCAAGGGCAATGGGTCAGGACAGGGCACTGCTGCCTAGCGGTGCTGTGGGGGTACACCAGACCCCAATGTTGGGGTGCTCTGAGGGTGTGGCAGGGCCCTCAGAATCCCTCCTCACTGTGGGGGTACACCAGACCCCAAGGTCGGGTGTTCTGAGGATGTGGCAAGGACCCTTAGAAGCCCTTCCCCTAATGAAGGTGCTCGCCCTGGCCCCACCTTGTCTTTGAGCTGCTGGCAGAGCTGTAGGGAGACGGTGAAGTAGACCAGGGCGTCGTTGAGCCAGGGGACCACACACTCCACCTTGTGCACGTGGCTCACCTCCAGGCGCTGAGAGCCCCACTCACTGTAGGTGGTGAGAGGAGGGTCCCTGAGTCAGGGCCCAGCCCTCCAGGTACAGCGGGATGGGGTGGCCATGCCTGGACCTCCCTCTGCTGCCTACTTACAACATGGCCCCTGGGCTGTGCAGCACTGCGCCTCCAGCCGGGCGGAAATTCTAGGCAGAACAGCACCAGAGCCGTCAGACCACACAGGGTGTGGGCATGGGGAGCAGCAGGGGGGCAGGGGTCCCTCCTCACCTTGGTGGAGTTGGGCTGCAGGGCGTGCAGCTGGTACACCGTGAGGCAGAGCTTGTTGAGGTTGATGTAGACGTTGACCAGCAGGTCGGAGGGCAGGGCAGGGGCGAACATCCGCTGCAGGAGGCAGGCAGGATGAGGCCACCCCAAGCCCCCAACCCGGGCTGGATGGAGTGGGGCTCTGTGGTCAGTCATGGAGTCTGCAGGGGACCCCAGTGTCCACCCCAGGGATGTTCTTCCAGGCTTTTCCCAGGTGCCCCAAGTATCTTCCTGTGCCTCCAGAT